AGTTTGTAGGAAAACTCAGTATTTTTGCTGTTATGGATATGAATCTTAGCTTAAAATATTCTGGTGATAATGTTTTTTTTTTTGTAGCACAAGAAAACAAGGAAAAGGTTTTCATGTCTTATAACAAGCTACGTGACTGGAACTTCATAGAACTACTGGTTATAATTTTCCACATCAAATAGCTATTCCCACTAGTTCCATGTATAGAACTCGCGGGTTCCACATGGTACTGGCTATATGGAACTACTAAATAAACGTTACATTACGTATGTAAGACTAGGACCTTATTTATTTATACACCTGGCCTTACTTTGTTTTATTACTGGCTTTGCCACCATCATGGATAACACAAGAATTTAGTCGCTGATTAGTCGAAATTAGTCGTCAAATATCAAAATTTCTCGGTCACTGATTCAAAAGTTATGTGTTTATAGATGGTCAGTCTCCAGAGCTTGGCCACGCTTATACCTCAAAAACTAGAGCATCTAGACTTATCTAGACGCCAATTTGTCGAAATCAGTCGCCAAATATCAGAACATGTCGGTCACTGGTTCAAAATTTATAAGCGTTTCTAGATAGCCCACTAGAGACAATTCCGAAGTTTAACCACGTTTATATTTTAAAAACTAGAGCACCTAATTCTCTCTCTTTTCTCTTTCACCTAAATTTATAAGTAATAAAAAATTAATAAAGAATATTTCACCTAAATATTCTTTATTAGAACTTTAACAGTAGAACCTCTGTAAGCCGAACTTCAAGTTTTTTAATCTTTTTGTGACACAGAGTCGGCAGATTATCCATGTTGTAAAATAATACCGTGTGTAGCAGTCTTAAGAAAAATAACACGTACAACCATGCTTTCACGTCAGTCACTGCCGGCGGACAGCGATATTATAGTCGCTAATTAGACGAAATTTGTCGCCACATATCAGGATTTGTCGGTCACTGGTTCCAAAGTTAAAAGCGTTTCTAGGAGGCCAACCTAGGGAGAATCTTCCCAGGTCGGCCACGCTTATATCTCATAAACTAGGGCACCTAGCGAAGATTTGCTTTCTCTCAAATTTAGTTGTTAACTATTCGCAATTTTACGCACATTTTTTGTCACAGATTTACTCGAGTCTTAGTTTAGGAGATTTTTAAGATATAGTCTAAGATCTAGACAGAAGATTTTAATTATGTGTAGTTCTAGTTTTATCGTGAACGAGCGTCACTGACCCTGACATGGCCACCATCATGGATTTTAATTTTTATAACACAATTTTTTTTTGTCGCTAATTTATTGAAATTTATCGGTCACTGGTTCAAAAGTTATAAGCGTTTTAAGGGGCCCTGCTGGAGTCAGTCTCCTCAGCAGGGCCACGCTTGTGTCAAAAACTAGGGCACCTAGCGAAGATCTGTTTTTTTTCCCAAATTTATTCGCTAATTTCTCGAAATCAGTCACCAAATATCAGAACATGTCGGTCACTGGTTCAAAAGTTATAAGCGTTCCTAGGTGGCCGACCTAGGGAGAAGCTTCCCAGGTCGGCCACGCTTATATCTCAAAAACTAGGGCACCTAGCGAAGAGAGCGAGATATTTTTTCTCACAAATTCAGTAGTTAATCTCAATTTTTCGCACTTTTTTTTGTCACAGACTTGTCTTAGTCTAAAAGCTAGATCGACGAGTTTACGAAAAATTGCTAAGAAAAAAATATTTCTATTAGTAGGTACCTATGTGTACTGTAACTTCTCATTGATTCTATAATAAGATAATATGTTTTTAATTCAAGATTTGATAAGAAAAGCATTTAGGTGATGATTTCTGGGATAAAAACTATTCCTTTCCCGGTACTCAAACTATCTCTATACCTAATTTCATCTAAATCAGTTGAGCGGTTTAAGCGTGAAGAGGTAACAGACAGACAGATAAACTTTCGCATTTATACTATTAGTATGGATGGTGACTAGAACAGGACTACGGTAGACCAAAGCAAGCAATGCTTTGGTCTACCGTAGTCCTATCACTCAATATAAACACATATAAGTCTATGTTTATTTGAAAAAAAAAAGATTCCGACACGTTATTATCCACCAACACTGATCCCTCCTACACACATACTCATTCACAGCATTGCTTGCTTTGGTCTACCGTAGTCCTATCACTCAATATAAACACATATAAGTCTATGTTTATTTGAAAAAAAAAAGATTCCGACACGTTATTATCCACCAACACTGATCCCTCCTACACACATACTCATTCACAGTCACACTATACTGGAATACCGTGAACGAGCCATCAGCGGAACACGGTCTTTCAAGTTACAGGAATACCATCTATCATCATCTACTTTGTCCACCTAAAACGGTCGTAATTACCTAAAAACTGAATGTTAAATTGTCAGATTATTTTATTCAACATATTTTTTTACGTTCGGAGTTTATTAAACACACTAAACATATAATTTCAAAGGCGTCTCTTTTTATGTTGTCTTTGTACAACGAAGAAACATTATTGTATGTATTTTTTCATTAAGTAGGTATTTTTACATTTTACTTTAAGTACAATAATTTTTAAGTAATAAATCATTTTATATTTTAAAACAAAGTTTTATTATTCTAACCTTAACAAAAGCCCATATATTTTTTTAACGACAACTCCCGACAGAAAATAAGACAACTCCCGCATTAGGAATATATTCCTGTGTCGCGACGGACTTTACAAACATACATGAAACGGACACAAAGAACACCCAGACTCAGAACAACAATATGTTGAATACACAAAGTGTCGTCCCATGTGGGGATCGGACCCACAACATTCAGCACAGTAGTGAGCGGCGCGGCGACTGCCCAAACCCGCATAATGCACAAGCGGAGCGGATACATGTGAATCATTGTAATGATCACATGATGATGTGAGGCGAGTAACTGTTATTATTATTTTCTCAGTTTGGGCACATGTCAGGGATTGTAACCATGTTGTAAGTATAAACTTGGTTACAACATGTAAGTTTATAAATGGCAAGAATTTTGTCAACTTTGTTACAGATGCGACAGCTCTGGGCCAAAAAGTGTCTACGTGCAAGAGCAGTGTGACATAATATAGTTGTTTCACATCTACGAAAGCCGGTTCGTCGATTAGAGAGATTTATAGCCATGGGCAGCATGGTGGGTCGGCGTACGACAGAGCGTAGGACATGTAATATTTAAGAAGATAACGTAGCTGAAAATGCAGGCAAGTAGGTAAGATGCTTCTTCTCCATTCAGGTTATCAGGATAAAACTAAGACTCTTGTACATTTTAACATCACGGGGGTAAATGACACAATACAAAAGTGAACGCATAAAAATTTATATCATAGGTTCATTATTATTTATTACTAGCTGATTCGCGCAACTTCGTCTGCGTCTCTCAATAGTAATAAATTTTCTCCGTTTTTGAAACATTCTTCATTGGTGCTCCGCTCCTATTGGTCTTAGCGTGATGATATATAGCCTATAGCCTTCCTCGATAAATGGGCTATCTAACACTGAAAGAATTTTTTAAATCGGACCAGTAGTTCCTGAGATTAGCGCGTTCAAACAAACAAACAAACAAACAAACAAACAAACTCTTCAGCTTTATAATATTAGTATAGATTACATCGTTTAATTTATAGTGGTCCAATATACAGAGTTACAGAAAGTTGTAGTGTCAGAAGCGTTACGTGTAGTAATAATAAATTTGGAAAATGCTTTTTGTGGTCTACACCCGGAAAAATATTTGCCGAATTTATTATGTGTTTTTATCAACGTATTACGAGCTTGCATGTTAATTACACCTATTTTGTTCATTATTTATGTTGACATTTAAAAAAACTAGATATCCCATCAGCCTTGATATTAAATATCCTTGAACTTATTGAACTTGAAAATAACTTCTTTATGTCCGTTTTAAAATAAAACATTCATCACGATTATTTCTAAATTTTTTAAGACACCGTGCTGTAAAACCCGGTCTAAGTTATTACTATATTTATTATACATTATCTCAAATCTGTACAATGATTCTTTATTACAAACGCTTGCTGCTGTACAACATTGCCATGTTTACACTATCATAAGATCTAAACTACAATGAAGAGAGATGGTGGACCTTGATGCACAAGTAACTTTAGCCGAGCTATGAAATTAGACATAATTTACTTTCTATTAACAGAACGAGGATATATCTCTTAAAAATGAGGTCTACGAGTAAAGTTACCGAACTTATATCAAAAATTATAAAATTAACAATAGGAATATTATAATATAATACGGATTATCACATTATGAGTATCAGTCGAAATAAAATTTTCGCCTCATTCTGAAACAATTTGATAAGTTATGAATACAAAATTCAAGTTTTCATTTATTTTAAACTATTTAATGCATTTAATTTGTTAAGGTATTACTTTTATCGATCTGAGAGACTATAGCAACGCTGCAAAAATCCCTACGAGTTCATAACATGACCTTATCAGGGCTAACGGATTATATTAGAATGTAATAATGATAATAAAATTTCGTCGAGAAGTGGCTAAGCGGAAGACTGTGGACCCCTCTAATTTAATTTTCATTACAAGGCGGTTACCATCTCTCTTAAAAACAAAGCTACACTGCAGTCGAAGGTATTTCCTCTGTAAGCAGTCCGACAGTACAGGGCATTAAGAGTATAAAACATTCAACTCATCATATATAAGCTATTTTTGCTGTTAGCAAAACTATTTCATTAAAAATATTGTTCTATTTTAAATAAAATCATACCCATGGCTATAGGGCTACTTATATTTCACAAATGGAAAATTTTAATAATTAACAAACTATATCTACATCTAGATACTGTAAATGGATATACCTGTGTAATCTCGCATACAACTCCATAAATTTGTAGTTAAAATCGGAAAGATCCCGATTTATATGAACAGATTGAACAGTGAAAACGATCTCTGGGTCTCCAAGTTAGCTACCGAATGTTAAGTGTCCAACGTAACAATGTTCTACTACTTGTCGAGTTTACACGAGTAATGTACGATATCACCGTTAGGGTATCTTACAAAAGCGCTCTGGTTACCGAAACGCTTTTTACACACAGGACATACGTTGTAGTCGTTTATTATTACGCTCTTCGATTCGTGGAATTGCTTCAGCTCTTGTATCTGTGAGGCAATGAAATAACATAAGAATGTATTACAATTTGTTAACATTTAGGCAGACAATAGGTACTATTTTATATAAAATTCTAGTACAATATTTTTGTTCAACTATACAGTTATTGTTTACAATTGGGCTGACAATATCGGCGATTTTGACCTAAATTAGTTAATTGAAACCAAAACCGGTGTGATAAGATGGAAATTAGTTTGTTAATGTGTATCATCCAGTCGACCTGATTAAATTCTGGAAATACGTATGCAGTACAACTACAACAAGGGTCAAAAAGGACATAAATATACATTATTAGGTTCAATTTTTAAATATATCGCGCGTCTGGCGCGTCTTAGGATTCTTTGTTGTGCATTAATTATTCAAAATGTAAAGCTCACCTGTGTGTGTTCAGCGTATAAAAGTCCTTTAAGAATCTGCATACGTCGCTTTAAAGTGAGTTGGCCATCGAGTGCGCTCTCTAAGAAATGTTTCAAACGACTCAGAGGCACAGAATCTGGCAACACTGATAACGCCTGGAAAAACGATAAATATAATGAAATAGACAACGTCTCCTCAACTTTACAGTTACTCTTTCATATTCAATTCACACTAGCATTTTTACAGTTTAGGCCACGAATAAAGCACAAAAACAATCACTTTGACGGGAGCGCACACTACGCTACACTACACACGTAATGGATTGTCCCACTTGTGCATCAAGGGGGACAGGATGCGAACAGACACCGCACTAACGCGCATGCGTCTGCACATGTCTACTCTAGTTTGAAGAAGCACTTATAGTTTCTAGTTTTCCTTTGTTATCTCATTAAATATAACTACAAAACAAAAAAAAAAACGCCAAATCGAATGTTATCATAATTAAACAATAACTTTAATATGAAAGTAACTGACTTTTAATAAGACTTTTAAGTACATACGTAATAGAATTTATCTGATTCTATAATAAGATTTGCAGTCTGAATTTGAAATCGGATCTTATAAACAGATTTGCAGTCTAGTGAGACAACGTCGCTCTGACGTGCAGGAGAAAGGTTCTATGATGTCCTTCATTGAAAAATATTTCTGCTTCCCTGTACTGTCTCCTGTCTGTTTCGTAACTGTTATTTTAACGACAACTGGTACTTCTTTAATCACCAAGTCGTTCTCGACCTACCCATTATTCACAATATATTTACATTTTTTTCAAATTTCCATTACATATTTATAAATGTGTAATGAAAACTATGTATCATAAAAGAATAATAGTTTTCTTACTTTTAATGGTGAAATTTTATCAGCATGCTTCTCTAGTACATTTAATGCAGTTTCTAAGTCCGCTACAGACGTCTTGGGATGTCTAGGAACATTGGCCAGGGGTCCATTGAGAGACGAACTCTGATCGGGATTCATCAAGATCCGCATTAAAATAACGTATACATCTTGGTGTTTATGACTCGCAGCTCTGCTTACGTTTTCACAGTAGCGTATAGCTCTATCTACATCGCCTGTTGAAACAATCATTTAATACATGAATATAGAAACAAACACACCCATACTGTACACTTAATACTGTTTCACTAAGCTAATCTGGCACATGACTAAAGTTCCAATATAGGTTATATATTACGCGTTAGAGCCTCAGAAAGCTCATTAGGTACTAGGTATATCATCGCTTAGATAGTTGAGGACCTCCTATGGTCAGTATATTAATTTTAAGAAATTATCATCGACGTCAATGACTGTTACGAATACAATTCGTCACATTAAAGTCGATGATAAGTTTAAACTGATAATTTTCACCCTTAGAGGTGGAACTTTTTTTAACCGACTTCAAAAAGGAGGAGGTTCTCAATTCGATTGGTATTTTTTTTTTAAATTTAAATGGGACCAAACGTACTTCTCACAATTAAAAAATGTTCGAAATTTTGAGTTCAGAGGTAACAAACATAAAAACTTTTTACAAGAATTAGGAACCTCCATCTCTTTGAAGTCGGTTAAAAATGGTACCACAACTGTTTGTCCATTCTATGGGACACGGCTGTAGTGTGTTCTTTAATGGAGTGCTTACCTATAGTTCAATTATTAACCAGTCCTTTTTAAATGATTACTTAAACTTTTAATTTGATTTGTTATTGTTTTTAATACTAAAAACTAACATTAAAAGTAACGATAGCAAAGTATGACGCCAAAGTTTATTATACCATACTATTTTCTTACGGTAAGTTACAGAATTATATAATACATGTTTTTTAAATATCACTAAAAACAAATAATTCGTACAACAACACGATTAATATCGGCTAAGAATTAATCTGCATTAGAAAACAACTCACCTAAGATTAATATGTATATAGCGAGTGCTTGTTCGTGTCTTCCAAGTTTTCCTAACATGATAGCTCTCTCTTCGAACAAACTATCTGTAGGAAAATGCAATAACACTCTTTCAGTAGTATAATGTATAGACTTTTCTAGAAATGTAAGCAATTTCGACTTTGTATGTTGAACCTCTTCGTCAGTAACATTGGTATTTTTTGATGTTATTTTATCTCTGTACCTGTTAATTAGAGCGTCATGGAATAATGAGTCAGTATCGTTCCAAGTGTGTATGACGTGTTCCAAGTATGGTATCACTAAAGGTTCATGTTCTCTGAGCAGGAAATCTAATATTTTTGGACGGGGCAATTTTTCAACTACTTCTATGTCTTCAGTAAATATTTTCAAGCCTTCCTCCGGATGCTCTTTAAGTATCCAATCTGAGAATTTAAATATTAAATTTATGTGTTCTGCACCTGAAAAAAAATATATATTTTTAATTGCATATGAAGGACTTCCTCGTGATTAAAAGAAATGGTAAGTATGCGTAGTTTACAACCCATTTTAATTAATGAAGAAAATATATTTAAGTTCAGTTACCTAATTTCTAATTAGCTAGTTTTTCTTGGATGCGGAGTTGTACTCATTCTGTCACCACATAATCAGTACATCTCCGCATCTATTTTTTTAAGTAATAAATCGAGTTAAAGAGAAGAATCCATAACGACATGTTGCCTATATGACGAAAAGGATTATAGACTACCTAACTTTTTTTTTGTAGATCTCTAGGAAGAGATTACAATCGAACACAATTCTATAACTTCTTACCCAGTTGCTGCAAGTAATTTTTTGTTCCTCGGTAACCTTCTAAGGAGGAATCTGGCTGCTTCGACTGTTCTCTCAGCAGCTGTAGAGCTTTCATATGTTGTCCCTTCATCTGGTACAATATTATCAATTCGCTATATTTGCCATGATGTAAGAGGGTTTTTTCAGCTTCTTCTAACCGGCAATTGTTTAGCCGTAGGAGCGGGGCAACAAATGCGTCGTTTGTCTAGTATGAAAAATAAAATTAATCAGTATATATGCATAAAAGACGCTAACAATAATACATTTTTGACGTCGACTTTTTGTTTACATCAAATTCCCTACAGTTGTATTGTACCTATGAACGATATTATTTTGTATTTTTTAAATCTTTCAAAAATGGAGCCTTTTAGTTACTGATATAAAAATATTGACAAATAATAACATTTAGAAATCCCATAAACAGTTATAAATTCCATGCTGTCAATTCCACTGTCAATTCGAAAAAATGCTATATTTTTGTAAGTTATATTTACATATGCTGACAGGAAAGATTACACTTACCGATTAATATAGGTGAAATCCTCAGATAAATAAAGAAATATCTTGTTATTTATACAAAACCAGCTGTTGTTATTATTATTTCATGAAGTTTGAGTTTACTATAAAACCCTATTTTTCAAAAAATCTTATAAAATGGGCCTATAATCTAATTACATTACACTTAATAATTTTATAATTACTTTTAAAATTATTGAAATAATGTAATATTACTGTAATTTATGTTGTGCAACGCCCTATTTAACTATGAAATCACTTATTACACCAATAATTCTCTAAACTATATTAAGAGATTTACTAGTTTACCTGCAAGTAGCATTTCAAGAGAGTGGTGTCTATCAACTCTAACTGCTGCGTAACATTTCTCTGGCTCCCGTTGCCCGTGTCCGTCTGACTACTGGCCGGTTTCTCTGAAGCCTTCAATATATTCGCTCTCAGTTTTACTAAATATTCTATCAAAGCGTTCAAAGCACTCTCTAGATCTTTGCCTTTTAATTTATTCGCTTCCACTTTCTCACCATTCGATTTGCTGTCAAGTTCTGGAAACAGTTTGATGACATCGGCAGGGTCGGTATTCAATTTAATAAACTCGGCCATAGATTGTGAATATTTTTTCATATCAAAAAGTTCTAGCGCATGTAGAACTTGAATAGAATGTATTTTCTGTTTCTTTTCTTCCAGCGTACATTCTGACAAGCTCTGTTAGGAATAAAATACATTTCATATAGAAGTATACAGCATAGAGCAGGTAAGTACAAACGTATGTTTTTTTTAACAAATACTTAAACTTACAAGAACTAAAAGCTTTATTATTTCTTTCCGATCGCGTTTTTTTACAGTAAAAGGCATTTTCTTAATTATTCAAGTACATGACAATGTAACGAAGCGATTCTTATGGCTTATCAATTACGTCACGTTAAGGTACACAGTAACGTTAAGACAATTTATTTTTATATTACATGTAATATTGGCCACAACACAACACACGACAAAACACTCCTGAATGTTGGAATGCTCAGGCAAACATCAAGGATATTTATAATAATAGGTGACACAACCAGATGTCATGGGTATCATAATATGTTTGGCTTTGACAATAGCCAGTATTATAATATAGTAGACAATAATTTTCCTCATTGCTTTTTCATTGGAGATATAGTCTGCTAGTGTACTTGACATAATAATTTGAAATATTAATTAATTTTGTATTAAACCACTACATTTATGTTATTATGTATCCTTAAACGAGAACTTCTGCCGACAAACTGTTTTGACAGTTCGGGATACTACGTATGAAAAATACATGTATTATAGATGTTTAATTTAAAACAAAATAGATTCTCTATCATATTGTAATTGTGCCTCACGCCACAGTGCTTTTGAACATCGTTTTTAATAATATAAAAAGGAGAAATCTGCCTTTTTTTTTGTTTTTTTTTTCCGTGCGGAAATCCCCTCGGATACCACCTATCGGTGGCATGTCGGACTCGAACCGACTAAAACCGCACGCCGTCTCGGGTACTAATAGCCGGGGAACCAGGTATACCCTAGAAAGGAAGTCCCTGGTGCAGGAGATATCTGCCTACAGCTAAATATAATTAGATATTAATTTTATTTTGATGTTATTAACTACTATTTTAACCAACGTAACGGCCATTTTAATTGCCCTAGGAGAGGCATACTTCGGCACATATGGCCGATGATACTATCATAGAGGTATAACCTAGAGGGAACAACAGCCCCAAACTTGCGATGTAGGCAACGAGAAAGATAGATAATAGATAGTCCCCTCTATCTCTTTCTAGTCGGGCTCTGTGTTTGGCTGCGGGATATGAGGGGTTAATAAGTAGCTAATCGCAGCTTAGCTAAACAAAGACAAAGGGAAATATCGGGCATCCCTCTCTCGTTGCCTGTATCGCTTTCACTTACAGGCAGATTTACCCCGTGTTCTCTCTATGCGTATATCTCTAAGGATACTATGCTCTCACAGAAAACCGGTGTTGAGAAATTATTTTCTTGCTTTTCGCCGAGTAAGTTTTTAATGTACTGTACATATATACGGTACTATTGTATTTATATACTATAAGTGTGTGATCCCCAAGAATTTAGTTTTCTAAATTGTTTAATTTAAATAAATTATGTACCACAAAAAATTATAACACTAACTTTATCTTCTATTTTAAAAGGACATCATTCACGCTCCATACAAAAAGTACCCAAACAAAAGTGCCGGCCAACGAAAAAAATGGTTTTATCGGTAAGAGAACGACATTCTAAGATTTTTTTCTTTAGACGGCTAAGAGCTAAGACTGATTACTTATGAGTTATATATGACTTAAAAATAATAAAAAAATGCATTTATACGAGTTCGTCTGAATAATTTTTACTTCATTACTATAGCAAAAATCAAATAATGATGATATAGAATAACTTAATCTCGCTTAATAATAATATAATATGACAAAAAGCCTAATTATATACAATCATCATTAGGTACCTAAGTACCTACCTAGGTATTTATGTGTAGGTATTAGTTATTTTATAACACTAATTTTATTTTATTTTATTGTATCTAATACCTACACATAATAATAGTGTACTACACATTGTCATAGTAATTGATACATAAATGTAAATGCTCATTATATGATTTTCGGAGATCCATTTTGGGTCTAAAAGTTGGTCGTAGACGTTTGTTGTAATAATAAAAAATGTTTAAAAGATCATTTGCCGTAAGATGACACAGTTTTTTTTTACTGGCCGGCACTTTAATTTTTGGGTACATTTTGAATGATGTCCTTTATTACTTTAACAAACGAGTAATTTAATTTAACGAGTAATTTAGTTCAATTGGGAAAACAATTTTAACGTACGTTGCAATAAAAGGTCATTGCCTTGAAAAGAAAAACACGTTTGATCAATATACTTACAATATATTGTCCACAGTTGGTGTTTGTTGTCGTTCGACGGCGTATATCGCAACAAATTATTCAATAGTTTACAGGCTATCATATTTTATTACAAGCAGACAAAGTAACAATTTTTTTTATGAAATACAAAAATTTAATTAGTTATTTTTATTAAATCTTATATTTTTTTTAATTCTTAGGAAGAGTCTGTACTTTGTATCGGTGTATAAAGCTCTTTTAAATCTATCACTTCAAGATATATACCATGCTTTGGAGTAATATGCTTCTAAATAGTGCAAATACTTAATGTAAACGGTTTTTTTAACGCTCAATAATTATTGGTTAAGTAATAATGTACTTAATAATTACCTTTAAGGTTTAATTGTAGGCTCAGCGACAGAATGTATTGAATAGAATAATTTTTGATATTGGAAAGCAAAAAATAACAAATAATGGTATAATAGTCAGGGCTATTTTTCAGTTACTGTATATAGGATCATTTAGCTAGTCCCAAAGGAATACCTAAAGAAGTACCTAAAGTGGAAATACAGGGGTGATAGCTAGCTAACTGACGGTTACACGATTGAAAATAAGCTGACATAGTGTTTAAACTCTCGTTGCCCTAAGGCTCGACCTGGAATCTCAATCTTCTTAACGATATATTATGAAATAAGAAGTCTTACCGTCAAGTCAATGGCTATCTGGAACTGCTTGTCTTTTAGTAACTGCTTTATTTGTTTTGTCACATCCACAGAACTGAGACACCATACTTGGCCCACTGATGACACAAATATCAATCCACGCTTACACCTGAAACATGCATACAATAAATACAGTACTTTTGAGAAGAACTTAGAATTATCTGCGTTGAGGAAACTTTGGAAGTTTTACACCGTTGAGGTCATGTGAATGACGTCATGCCAGCAATGTGTTGAAATTATCCTTACCACTGATTTTTAAATTCAAACGCTATGTGATAATTTATACATACAGGGGCTGGTGGCTAAGTGGTAACCGAGAAGGTTAACACATTGCAAAGTAAATCCGTCCTAGCCAGGTCAGTGTATGGATGGGTGCCCATTTCTTAACACATTGACACCCCTCCGTACCTAGAGTACGTTAAGCCGTCGGTCCAGGTTGCCAATGGTTACGGGTAGTTTGAGACTTAAATATTCCGACAGCAGTCTTTCTACTGAACTTACTGAACTGGTTGGGAAGATGAAGTTTAGCCGTATCGTAGCAGACTTAAAAGCCGACCCCAACCTATTTGGGAAAAGGCTCGGAGGAGGTGATACTTTATAACTTATTATATATGAGAATGAGCATTATGTCAGTATTATTTATTCCGAATATTAAATATTAGTCGTTCCTTAGTTTCACCTGCGTTTAATTTAACGTCACTGCTCCGTTTATAAGGTGCGGGTCGTAACGTAACTTTTGTCGTGACGTTGCAGTAACATTTAAACACATCAAATGACCTTTCAAATAAGTTGTTATACATTATTTTTTGAGTACGTTATTAAAGGACTTCATAAAGGAGGAGCTTTTTAATACGATTAATTATTTGTGCCGCGATATTGGGCAATGCGCACCGTGCGTAGACTAATACACACCAAAAACCAAATCAACAAAATAAAAAAAAACAAATTAAATACTCTCCTCAAAGGCAACAAACCCCGCTGGTCTACGAGCATTGAGAGACGTCGAGACTCATCATTGTGGCATAAGTCATAAAATCGGAACTAAACACGGAGTCATAAGTACAAAACCTATCGGCAGTTCCGACCTTTCGGAACCGAGATCGAATATCCGTAACATTTCTAGTATGTACATTATATGCATACAATATACTATATCATAAATGTACATGTACTGTAGTTTAAATGTAATAATATAAATTAAAATTATTTTTTAATCTGTCATGGGTCTGTATTAGCACAACTCTCATTGATGCACTTGGTATTCATGCAGTAGTGGTACAGTGATACGTTCAACCAGTCATCATATTATACGTAAATTAAAATATCCGCATATTATTTTCAGTATGAATATAATATGCACAACCCATAAAGTCGAAACGGTGACAGGACTAACTTTCACATGAAATAAAGACTGGAATGTTTTTAGATCAAAATCACATGGCGTTTTTGAGCTACTTTCATAATGAGTAACTAAAACATACCTATACATAAGTCTTGCTTGCTTTAGCTCAGGTAATGTTTGTATGAACAATGTTGGCTCGACCGTTTGTACAACAACTTGATCTGCCAACAGACCTAATACAAATGGCTCGTCCCACACTGCAAACAGAATAGTTTTCTTACTAACAGTATGTCAAATGATAGATAATATTAAAAAAAAATCACATGCTAACTGATGCTATAGCACCAGACTATATAAACGAATAAAGAAATATTTAGGAGAGAATTAGTCGCAATTTTTACTTTATAAAGATACATAAAGATTTATGCTTACCAACAGCCATAGGTGCCTCAGACCATTTAATAGTGTTCTTAATATCAATATCTTTGGTTTTCTTTTTAGGATCTGTTTCATCTTTAGGATCTTTGCTTTCTTCTACGAGTACAGACGATTGATCACGGCCGAGTAGAAAGGAAGTTTCCGAGTATTTAGCTATTGTAGGTTCCTTTGAACTGCTTGTCGGGAATAACTCTTTAGGATTACCGGAAGAAAGCTGAAATATTAATTAATACACAGTTGCAGCGGTTACAGTGTTATATGTTGCTTGTTTTATGGTTGGCCAGGGGAGTTTTTTACCGACTTAAAATTAATATACCTACGCGGCTCCGCCCGCGTGTATGTCGGTTATCGCGGTAAATAGTAGCTATGTCCTTCCTCAAGATTCAAACTATCTTTATACCAAATTTCAGGTTTAAGCGTGAAGATGTAACAGTATGGTAAATATTAGTATGGATTTAATTGAACTCTATTATCTAGAGAAGTTAGCTTTGAATGGTTTCGGTTAAGCGCTCGCCGACTCCTTACGTTTGTTGTCGTCTACTGTCCTACATATACAACAACAGTATCCTTTTCCCTATATACCTTTCTATTCCCATCCTTGGATGTTAATCATACCTTCCCAATTAACAACAAAATGAAGGTGTGCCTTAACAGCGGAGGTGGCACACCATAGTGTGGCACAGATTAGATCCTACTAATCTGACCACCACCACCACTATTGCGATTAGCATATAAGCGAGTTACGTTGGCTTATTGTACATCGATGATAAAGTCTACTTGCATGTTTAGTGACGGATGTTAATGTTAAAAAAGTATACCTAAAATAAATGCACGCAAACGAAAATTATGGTGATCCAAAAAAAAATTTAAAGGACAACTGATTGTAAGTCCCACTCTTTACTCGTCTTTAATATATAATTTCTAACCCTAAAGTTGGAAATGAGTCTTGGAAATATGTTTACAAAGAGAGTTCAAAAGAGCAACTCCTTGAACCTTGCCCTACCCTTTTTTGTGGAAAGTCATAATTTGTCTTTAATATATTATTTGCAATACGAGTTGGATATGGCAGAAGAATGTAAAAGTGCAATTAATGCGGTACAAATGCATAATTATATAAAAAGAAGGGCTGAACTCTAAATACAGTTTTTTCCTTCTTTAATTATTTTCCCTATTAATTAAATTATACTCTTAAATTTTCTTAAAAAATAATTTGAATCTTATTAAACTAATCACCTACATCATACAGCACATATTCGGATTTAAATCCGACAAATAGGTATTGCTGACCCCATGCCATAACTTTTGGCACATCTGGAATGGTGAACTCATACAAATGCTGTTTCAATTCTCCGTTTATTCCTTGGTACAGCTGCAATTTTCGTCTCACAGCAACACAAAGGCGTACAAGAGATTTTGATTCGCCAGACATCAATGTTGTGGACTGAAAATTTGATAAATATTTTATTAAAAAAATAGAAAAAGATTAATTTATATTTTTATATATATAAATAGTCAGTTGGCTTGTGTATGTTTCAAAAAGTTTGGTTGTTCCTCATTTCTCACCAATGCAATTTTAATGTGTTACAGCGAAGGGTGGCAGGGTACAGCTGGTTACTAATAAAATATGTTACCTGGTAGTAAAATATTATCAAAATCGCTCCAGCCGTTTTGACGAATACCCGGAACAAACTGATGTTTAGGCATATGTATCGTGCAAATAACCGTGTGAGCATAAAAAGAAACCTATTATTTTGACATTACAAACAGACACTTCAATTTTATTTATTTGTATAGATACGAAAATAAAAAAGCCGTGTGGTGTCGTGGGACACCCGATAGGAACGAAGTTGTGACGATCGAGTAAAACTGATTCGACACGATTTTAATTATAACGCCATCTATGAAAGCGGCTATTACCTACATATTTTTCAGTTGGTTTCTAATTAAAACAATTTATACATTGGTAAAATCTCCTTGAGAAATGATGTCGAATACAATATTTTTTGCTCAACCTAAGAACATAAATTTTAATTTTACTGAGATGAAAAGTAATGATTTCCTATCTATTCGATAGAAGGCGCTGAATGACTGACAAGTGACAATTCAAAATAAAAAGTGTCGTTACAAGTTTTCGTGAGAATTTTTTCCGTCTAGCCCCCTTTCACAACGCGCTATAAGGAACTTCGTTCCAATAAATTATGTAATTTTCTAAAGTAAAATTAACAGATACACACAACTGAAATGGATACAGGAATGTTATATGTAGCTATCTTAGGTAAACATAAGTATTACTGACTCCTCATTACATTGTTAACAAATAGTTTTTTTTATCAAAACAAGAGGAGTTGTTACTATATTTTACAAATCAATTCTTTTTACACCAAGGAGTACTAAAAATCAATAAATAAATATAAGAAATAATAGTCTGATCTACCTTACCTTATTGTCCAATGCAAATAAAGAAGCACCTTTAGTTTGTTCAAATGTCTTGACAATAGGAAAATTAACACCATTCATGTTGTATGTTGAAAGTACATTATCAGTTAGGCATAGCAACAAGTTGTCTTCTGTAATAAAGTTTCACAACTTCTATTATAACCAGTTTTTTAATCCCAATGCCTTTTACAAAATTAATCAATGCTTTTTTTTAACAGATTACTTTTTAATTAAAGAGGTTTTTAAAATTTACATGTTTACTATAATGACCATTAGTTTGAACTGAATCCCATTTGTTTTAATGCTGTTACTGCTATTCAAAATATGATTTTGTTCATATTTATTTTTTTGACCTTGTAAATGTCAATGCAGATTTTCTGGTACGATTAACATTTTTTCTTGTATTTCAGTGTCAGTTTTTTTCTAGCATTAATACTTTAATATGAAGTCTATTGTATACAATATAAATCTAGAATTACCGGAGGCGCAACCTTCGCCCTCCCCCCCTTGATTCTGGAGTGGGTCACTCAAAAGGCAGCAAAGCACTTGTCTCTTGAGTTACAGGTGTTTATTGTTGGTGATAGACACTCACCATCAATTTGTTATCCTTGCCAATGTGTAGATTGTGTAAACAGTGCATTGGTAAGCACTTACAGAAAACAGGTATAACATTATGTGTAGATCAAATTTATACAGACACTAGTCTCCCAACGGACAAGTGCTTTATTCACTATTATTATAGTGAATGAAGTTTAGTCCCTTTCAAGAGCAAAGTTCAGGTTTCTTTGAACCCATAGGGAGTTTTAATATTGCTCTCAAGCAATGAAGTAAAATAATTTGTGTGTTACATACCAGGTATCACTTCAATTTGTTGAATGGGCTTTTTGCTAAAATTTTTACAATAACGGAGTAGCTGCAACTCATATTTTTGATTGCCATTTGCCATAGACAATGAATACATCAATAAGTGACCTTGTCTTGTTCCCAATAATAAATTGTTATCTGAAATGTGATAGTGATTAAAGAAGGGACTGTCACCAAAAGAAAAGTGCTGTGATTAAATGGCATGAATATAATTATTTAATCAGACTAAGGGTAAAAATTAAGCAGAACAACAGCACTGCAGAGAGAAGGAAAACTTGACACAAACCCTATACCAACCCATCTGGCCAGCGTGGTATAGTAGGCCAAAAACTCCTTTCTAAGGAGAGGCTTATGTCCAGCAGTGGACTGTCAAAAGCTGTTGATGTGAATCAGGAGGTTTGTTATTTCACTCACAGTTAAACTTGTCTAAATCATTGGAAAAATAGAGCTTGCCAATGGTGTGTGCGTGTTCTTAATTTGAATTACTCTTGTGAAAGTTGCCACACAAGTATCATTACCGGCGCTTGACTTTTGGAAATAAAAACAAAAGCAACAAGTACAGTGTTTGCTAACAACAACTTATTAATTATTATTTTACTTTTCCAAGAAAGCTTACAGCGCAAATACAGTTTATAAACAAGTACAACACAAAAAATGGCTGATTACAAGTTATCGCATTAAATATGTATAATTATAATAGGAATAAAACAGTAGACAGTAGTACAGTAGGCATTTAACTAAAAGAAATAACTAAGACTATGAATAAGGAGAAAAAACTTTTCAACTTAGAAATACTTCACATTTTGTCAAAGAACTTCTAGTTTTTTTTCAGCTGATTAATGCTGGTGAAAAATAAATTAATATCATGTGCATTGCAACCAAAAATGTACACACTGTTAACTGTATAGTTGGTGTGTTTATCTTGTTTATTTTATGTGTTTACATTACAATTATTCTTGCTTTTATGCTTTTGATGTGTAAAAAATATGTTGTTGTCTTTTAATCTTGGTAAATAGTAAAGTCTATTTATTACTAAAATAAAAGGAGATATTCTTTGTTTTTGAAATTTACATACTTGCAACAGAATGTAAATTTTGTTTCTGCGCTGCTTGTTCACAGAAAGACAAGTTGTGTTGACATTTTGTTATGCATATTTTGAAGCCAAACATGAAACATCTAATTTTAAATAAGTCCTTTAGGAAGATGTTTTCTTCCCAATCGTGGCGCCTTTGACTAACATTTTAAAGGTCTTATGAACTCATTTCTTTTGAACTTCAATGTTATTTAAAGCATTTAATGAAATAGTACAAGTAACAACAAATACTGTGTTGCTACCATGACTTACCATACGCAGCTATAGTTTCTATTTGAACGGTTGCATTGAGCAAGTGGAATACTTCGTAAGCTTCGTGCATTGTAATACAATATAATATACCAAATACAATCAAACTCCACCCCTAAAATATCAATTTCAGTGTTTGGTCACCCTCTATCCTTTTTTGGCCAAACCGTAAAGAATAGTTATATTTGTGAAGTGCACAGATTGAAGTAAGAAACATTTGCTTTGTCTTAATAACTTTAATATCTCAGTTCCAGAAGACTTAGATTTAAAATTATTATGTACGTATTTTTTATAACACGAATTTTGACCACAGAACAGAACACCAATATCTTGAGTTTGACGTTTATGACATTGTAGTGTAGTGTAGGTAGGAAGCACGATCACGATCATAGAGAAATAACCTATAGAGAACAAGATCTCCAGTCTTGCAATAAAGGCAACGAGAGAGATGGATGATAGATAGTAACCTCTATCTCTTTCTAGTCGAGTTCTGTGTTTGGCTGTGGAATATGAGGGGTTAATAAGTAGCCAATCGCAGCTTAGCTAAACAGAGAGCTAAACGTAGACAGAGGGGAAATATCGAGCATCCATCTCTCTTGTTGCCTGTATCGCTCCACTTACAGGCAGCTGTACCCCGTGTTCTCTCTATGCTTATAAATCTATAATCACGATACGATACAATTTAGGGAAACATCACTGCAGCACTTTACGTCTACGATAAATCGATATTTAATGTGTTTTTTTTTTATAGAGGGAGCATACAAGGTGACGGGTCACCTGATGGAAAGTGACATGAGTAACTGGCTCGCTATCAACTCGGATAAGTATACATTTCAAATATTTGATATGCATTTTTGCAGTGACATCGTCCTTTTCTATTTTTCGGGCTGTTTGAGTTCAAGTTACAAGTTATCGCGTGAGAACTATCGGTGTGAGCTTGTGCCAACATCTCCGATGCGCTGCAGTAACGAGGCAGTCTCAACTACACCCTGAAAGCATTATTATACTGGACGCGACATCCAGCGACGTTCTGGTGTAGTTGATCCATAGATTAGATTAGAGACTTAAGGCTAATTTTTTTAACAGTAATCCATACTCCGTACTAATGTTATAAATGTGAAAGTGTATCTGTCTGTTACCTCTTCACGTTTAAACCGCTGAACCGATTTAGATGAAATTTGGTATAGAGATAGTTTAAGTCCCGGGCAAGGGCATGGGATAGTTTTCATCCCCGAATTAAAACCTTTAGGGTTTAAAAACGGGGGTAGAAATTTGTAAAGTTAATTGTAGTTAATTTGTAAGGTGAATAGAGGAGTAGAAGTTGGTATAGGTAATCTCAAAAATCAATCATTTATTAAGTAAGTATAAAACTCAATATTATTTTGCTTTTCCTAGATTCAAAGAATGTTTTTATCTTTTCATTAGAAATAAAGAATGTTTATGCATTTTTGACCAATTAGTCAACCCTTTAGCCTAAAGGGTTGACTAGAACGCGACACCCGAAGAGGAGCGCGAGGGTCGTAAAGCCTCTCGCCGAGCCACGATGGCTCGTTGGTCGGTCCAGCCTGGAGGCTCCACGTGCTCGCTTTACCGCCGTAGAGGCACTCCAAGCGGTCGTTGAGTTGAGGCCAATCGTTGAGTGGGCAGAGCGTCCAGAGCAGAGCAGGTTCTTTCTGAGTACGGCTGATTCTGCAATCGTTCGATAGGAGGGAATTGAATCCCGCCTGTTATCACTCCGAATGCAGTGAGGACGCGGCTCAGCACACGCGGGCAATTTGCTTGGCTTGGGCGTTACACGCAGCGTTGGGTCGCAGTGCAAAACATAATTTTAGAAATGTACTAAAACTTTAAATTTTTTACTTAACACATCACACACACACGGCTGTATGTTTCCTAACTAGGCAGAGCCTGTACTATTCTAACCAGACTGCTGATAAACATACTTATATATTTCTCAATATATACATATTATAGATAAATTACACCCAGACACAGAACAAATCATCGTGCTTATCACACAATTATTTGTCCTGGGTGGGAATCAAACCCACGACCTCTGGCTTAGCAGGCTCACTAACCACTAAACCAACAGGCCCGTCAAATTATAGTTTGACATTTAGATGCAACTCTTTCGTGATAAGATTTTTGGCTTTATTGATTTCAAAAAATATTTTCACACTCCGATCGAAATACGAGTAAGTAGATACTTTTTTACGGTCAGAAAGAGCGGGGGCCCCAAATGCGCGGGGCCCGTAGCATTTGCTACTCTTGCTACATGGCTAATCCGCCACTGCCTTTACTGGTGAAAAAGGGGTGGAACTTTGTAAAGGGAATCTGAAAAAAAAACATAATTTTTAAGTAAGAGGTCAGAAACTTTAGTAAAGCCTCTGTTACAAGTAGTTAGAGATGGCATCGATGGTTCGAGTAGGCATTTAGTTCGTTGCCGTTACACATCATAAACATGTAATATCTATTTAAACTGGTTACTAATACTTACAAGCGAATGAACACTGCGACGTAATTGTACAGCAAATATCTTATGTTAGGTACATACTTACATACTTAGGTATTTACTATGTTTTTGTGTTATGTGTAAGAATATATAGAAATTTATATAAATTGTTATAATTTTATTTACAAATATGTTAATTATTACTGTGTTTACTACTATATTATATTCTAATCCGTTACGTGTTACATTACTATATATGTTCTGAATCTGTTCGATAATATTGTGATTTTGGTTAAAAAACCCCTTTTTTTTTAAAAAATTTTTTAAAAAAAACCCAAAAAAAAATTAAAAGGGGGGGGCCGGACATAAAGTGAGGAAGTGGAAAGAGCTGTGAGAACTCAAAAAGCAGATAAAGCTCCAGGATCGGATGGCATAAGCAACGAGTTCCTCATCCTAAATCGAAACCATCTAATACCAATTCTCAAACATCTTTTCAACCAAGTCTTAGAAAACGAGATAATACCTTGCCAATGGACAACATCATCAATAGTACTTCTACACAAGAAAGGAGATAGAAACAACATTAATAATTATAGGCCCATAAGTCTGATGTCGAATATATATAAAGTTTTCGCAAAAATTATACTCTACAGAATAACTAATACGTTAGATGAAAACCAACCAAGAGAGCAGGCGGGTTTCAGGAGCGGATATTCAACTCTAGACCACATTCATGTTATCAAACAACTATTTGAAAAAGGCAAAGAATACAACATAATCTTCTATTGTTGCTTCGTAGATTACAGTAAAGCTTTCGACACAATAGAGCATGAAAAAATCTGGCAGGCACTCAAAAACCAAGGTATTGAAAACAAATACATCAGAATAATAAAAAATATCTACGATAACAGCAGGGCTAAAATAAAACTAGAGAAGGAAGGTAAAGACATTATAATAGGCAGAGGCGTACGTCAGGGCGATCCGCTATCGCCGAAACTCTTTACTGCTGTTTTAGAAGAAGTCTTTCGTCAATTGGACTGGCAGAAATGTGGACTATCCATTAACGGGGAAAACTTGTCACATTTAAGATTTGCGGATGATTTGATAATCCTCTCGCCATCGAGTGATGGACTGCAAGCGATGCTGAGTGACCTGGTTAGAGAAAGTGGTAAAGTGGGATTGATCATGAACACATCAAAGACCAAGGCTATGACCAATGGCAAGGAAGAACCTATTCTGATCAATAATAACCCAATTGAATATGTCAAGGAATATATCTATTTAGGCCAGATAATCTCTCCTGTAGATCTAACCTCAAAAGAAATTGACAGACGCATTGGAAATGCCTGGAAACAATTTTGAAACCTAAAGGAAATAATGAAAAATAAAGATACTAACATAACCATCAAACGAAAACTCTTTGATACCAGCATACTACCTATACTCACTTATGGTTGCCAAACCTGGGCACTCACTAAAGCACACATTAAAAAGTTAGAAACTTGCCAAAACTCCATGGAAAGGAGTATGATGGGGAAAAAACTATCCGACAGAATTAGAATCGAAACCATAAAGAAACACACGAAAACAAAAGATGTAACAACAACAATAAAAAAGTTAAAATGGAAATGGTCAGGCCATACAATTAGAGGAATGGAGAAATGGTCGAAATCGATAATGAACTGGTTCACAAGTCATAAGAAAAGAAAAAAAGGAAGACCACTTCGAAGATGGGTGGACGACATTAGAGCCTTAGCAGGGGGCACATGGACGAGAACTGCTAAGGATAGACAGGAATGGAAGAAGTTGGAGGAGGCCTTTGCCAATAAGTGGCACACAGACAGAGTTGTCGATGAGTAATAGTTAAGCGTAATAGATAAGATATATAATATATATTTAAAAATTTTCACAATAATTAAGATGTTAAATACTGTAGATGTAAAACTGTCCGAAATAAAGGCTATTATTATTATTATTATTATTATTATAATAGGAATAAAACAGTAGACAGTAGTACAGTAGGCATTTAACTAAAAGAAATAACTAAGACTATGAATAAGGAGAAAAAACTTTTCAACTTAGAAATACTTCACATTTTGTCAAAGAACTTCTAGTTTTTTTTCAGCTGATTAATGCTGGTGAAAAATAAATTAATATCATGTGCATTGCAACCAAAAATGTACACACTGTTAACTGTATAGTTGGTGTGTTTATCTTGTTTATTTTATGTGTTTACATTACAATTATTCTTGCTTTTATGCTTTTGATGTGTAAAAAATATGTTGTTGTCTTTTAATCTTGGTAAATAGTAAAGTCTATTTATTACTAAAATAAAAGGAGATATTCTTTGTTTTTGAAATTTACATACTTGCAACAGAATGTAAATTTTGTTTCTGCGCTGCTTGTTCACAGAAAGACAAGTTGTGTTGACATTTTGTTATGCATATTTTGAAGCCAAACATGAAACATCTAATTTTAAATAAGTCTTTAGGAAGATGTTTTCTTCCCAATCGTGGCGCCTTTGACTAACATTTTAAAGGTCTTATGAACTCATTTCTTTTTGAACTTCAATGTTATTTAAAGCATTTAATGAAATAGTACAAGTAACAACAAATACTGTGTTGCTACCATGACTTACCATACGCAGCTATAGTTTCTATTTGAACGGTTGCATTGAGCAAGTGGAATACTTCGTAAGCTTCGTGCATTGTAATACAATATAATATACCAAATACAATCAAACTCCACCCCTAAAATATCAATTTCAGTGTTTGGTCACCCTCTATCCTTTTTTGGCCAAACCGTAAAGAATAGTTATATTTGTGAAGTGCACAGATTGGAGTAAGAAACATTTGCTTTGTCTTAATAACTTTAATATCTCAGTTCCAGAAGACCTAGATTTAAAATTATTATGTACGTATTTTTTATAACACGAATTTTGACCACAGAACAGAACACCAATATCTTGAGTTTGACGTTTATGACATTGTAGTGTAGTGTAGGTAGGAAGCACGATCACGATCATAGAGAAATAACCTATAGAGAACAAGATCTCCAGTCTTGCAATAAAGGCAACGAGAGAGATGGATGATAGATAGTAACCTCTATCTCTTTCTAGTCGAGTTCTGTGTTTGGCTGTGGAATATGAGGGGTTAATAAGTAGCCAATCGCAGATTAGCTAGACAGAGAGCTAAACGTAGACAGAGGGGAAATATCGAGCATCCATCTCTCTTGTTGCCTGTATCGCTCCACTTACAGGCAGCTGTACCCCGTGTTCTCTCTATGCTTATAAATCTATAATCACGATACGATACAATTTAGGGAAACATCACTGCAGCACTTTACGTCTACGATAAATCGAAATTTAATGTGTTTTTTTTTTTATAGAGGGAGCATACAAGGTGACGGGTCACCTGATGGAAAGTGACATGAGTAACTGGCTCGCTATCAACTCGGATAAGTATACATTTCAAATATTTGATATGCATTTTTGCAGTGACATCGTCCTTTTCTATTTTTCGGGCTGTTTGAGTTCAAGTTACAAGTTATCGCGTGAGAACTATCGGTGTGAGCTTGTGCCAACATCTCCGATGCGCTGCAGTAACGAGGCAGTCTCAACTACACCCTGAAAGCATTATTATACTGGACGCGACTTCCAGCGACGTTCTGGTGTAGTTAATCCATAGATTAGATTAGAGACTTAAGGCTAATTTTTTTAACAGTAATCCATACTCCGTACTAATGTTATAAATGTGAAAGTGTATCTGTCTGTTACCTCTTCACGTTTAAACTGCTGAACCGATTTAGATGAAATTTGGTATAGAGATAGTTTAAGTCCCGGGCAAGGGCATGGGATCCCTTTGGAAGCAAGGGCATGGGGTTTTCATCCCCGAATTAAAACTTTTAGGGTGTAAAAACGGGGGTAGAAATTTGTAAAGTTAATTGTAGTTAATTTGTAAGGTGAATAGAGGGGTAGAAGTTGGTATAGGTAATCTCAAAAATCAATCATTTATTAAGTAAGTATAAAACTCAATATTATTTTGCTTTTCCTAGATTCAAAGAATGTTTTTATCTTTTCATTAGAAATAAAGAATGTTTATGCATTTTTGACCAATTAGTCAACCCTTTAGGCAGTGCCGGATTTAGACAGCGCGGGGCCTGTAGCAAATTGTACCAAGGGCCCCTTAGGTTGTTTTAGGTTATCTAGTTTATGGTATTTATCATCATCCTCAACAGTCTATTGCTGGATATGGGCTTCTCCTTAGAAAGGAGATTTTTGTTTGCTATGCTACGCTGGCCAGACGGGTTGGTTATACCAGTCTCAAATTTGAAACAAACCCTACTTGGGGTTGTCTTAAGTTTCAAGAAACAAACCCTATAGGTTTTGTTTCAATTCTGATACGTCGGCCCATGTCAGGTGGTGTTGAATAGGGCTCTGGTCTTGGGCCCTCCTGTGGGAACATAGGGTATGACTAGGCCCTTCGAGGAGACTTCCCACCCCGGGCTGGGCGTAATCTGTTACGCCAACGACACTTTGGTTGTCTGTGGATAGGAGGGGGCCCTGGAGTGTCTCTTTGGTGGTTGTCTTAAAGGTGGTCCTGGATAAGACGGAGGCCTCTTATTTCTTGAGCCTAGTTGTAGTCCACCCAATGGCGCCTCAATCATGGTCATCTTGGTCAACGTACCGGTTCAGGCCCAGATGAAGGATACCTGACGGGAGATGGCTCTTCGATGAGCACTCCCGACAGCTTACCCTAAAACTGGTCGACACTGCGTCTGCTCTTAAGTGACTTTTGCCCAACCAGCATCGTTTCAAGACAGCTGTACACGGGGCTGTCCAGTCAATGGCACTGTACGGTGCCCCAGTGTGGACGGCAGTTCTGACCGCCCGGCATAGGGCGCGCATTAACCAAAATTATGTAAGTGCTATGATTATGGATGTATTATCTCAATGTATATTGTGCAGTTTGTGTTGTATGTTTACTATTGTGTCATTATTGATTTTTATTACAAAATGTTAAGATTTAATATTAATATTATTTTGGGTTTGAATATAAAAAGCATGTTTACTCAGCCTAATACAAAAAATGATTGCACGCCACTGTTAAAATAAGTCTTAGCTTATAAAACATATTTTATTATGGCGCCCTTAGAGGGCATTGACAGTTAGAACCATGGTTATAGCACCGTGTCGACGTCTGGCCAGAACACTCTCGTGGGATTTGGGAAGGAAGTGCTCGGCCCCCACCCGAAGAGGAGCGCGAGGGTCGTAAAGCCTCTCGCCGAGCCACGATGGCTCGTTGGTCGGTCCAGCCTGGAGGCTCCACGTGCTCGCTTTGCCGCCGCAGAGGCACTCCAAGCGGTCGTTGAGTTGAGGCCAATCGTTGAGTGGGCAGAGCGTCCAGAGCAGAGCAGGTTCTTTCTGAGTACGGCTGATTCTGCAATGGTTCGATAGGAGGGAATTGAATCCCGCCTGTTATCACTCCGATTGCAGTGAGGACGCGGCTCAGCACACGCGGGCAATTTGATTGGCTTGGGCGTTACACGCAGCGTTGGGTCGCAGTGCAAAACATAATTTTAGAAATGTACTCAAACTTTAAATTTTTTACTTAACACATCACACACACACGGCTGTATGTTTCCTAACTAGGCAGAGCCTGTACTATTCTAACCAGACTGCTGATAAACATACTTATATATTTCTCAATATATACATATTATAGATAAATTACACCCAGACACAGAACAAATCATCGTGCTTATCACACAATTATTTGTCCTGGGTGGGAATCAAACCCACGACCTCTGGCTTAGCAGGCTCACTAACCACTAAACCAACAGGCCCGTCAAATTATAGTTTGACATTTAGATGCAACTCTTTCGTGATAAGATTTTTGGCTTTATTGATTTCAAAAAATATTTTCACACTCCGATCGAAATACGAGTAAGTAGATACTTTTTTACGGTCAGAAAGAGCGGGGGCCCCCAAATGCGCGGGGTAGCATTTGCTACTCTTGCTACATGGCTAATCCGCCACTGCCTTTACTGGTGAAAAAGGGGTGGTATTTTTAAGTAAGAGGTCAGAAACTTTAGTAAAGCCTCTGTTACAAGTAGTTAGAGATGGCATCGATGGTTCGAGTAGGCATTTAGTTCGTTGCCGTTACACATCATAAATATGTAATATCTATTTAAACTGGTTACTAATACTTACAAGCGAATGAACACTGCGACGTAATTGTACAGCAAATATCTTATGTTAGGTACATACTTACATACTTAGGTATTTACTATGTTTTTGTGTTATGTGTAAGAATATATAGAAATTTATATAAATTGTTATAATTTTATTTACAAATATGTTAATTATTACTGTGTTTACTACTATATTATATTCTAATCCGTTACGTGTTACATTACTATATATGTTCTGAATCTGTTCGATAATATTGTGATTGTGTTGCAGGGTCATTAAAATAAACTTCTTCTTTTTTCTTTCTCCTTTCAAGCGGCATTATATATATTTTTTACCTTATACCTTCCATATACTTACGTCATAGTGCATATGAAGTGCAGCTATTCGATCCTAATCCCATATTAATCGCGATCTTATAACAAGTAATGAGCCACACCGAACAGAGGATAATCTAGGGCCCAATACACGTTGGCCTACGTTGGCCAGTACCGTCTTTGGGGATAAGGGGAAGTGGGGATAAACTAGTAATAAACTTGGTAAAACAGAAAACAAGTGTTCCGTCAAGAATAAAATAAAAATGTAAATTTGCAATTTTAGTAGGTAATCAGGTTGTTAAACGTGTGGCTGTTAAATAACGATAAGTCCTAAGGAAATTTTGAAAGATCATTAGATACTGTACAGTTGCATGGCAAGTGGCTGATTTACATAATGTGAATTTTCAAAAGGGCTTATTTCTCATTAAAATAAAAAAATGCAATTCAGTTCAATACTATATTCTTAATATTTTTCAATTTTAGTTTGGTCCAAATCTGCTTTCTGTCTCTAGAAAATCGACTAGAAAAAGAGCCTTCCGCGTCAAAAGTACTTATATTCATATCGTTTTCGTCCACTAGGTAATTGTTTTTCTATAATATTTAAGGTACAAAAGAGCTTTAAAATGGCTTATTTTCAACAAGTACGAAACAAAACAGCTTATTTCTCAAAGTCCCTGTCAAAATAATGTAGCTTCTAAAATATGAAGTTAAATATATATTTTCGTGAGTGGGGAAGAAAAAATATAAAAATGCTAAATTAATTATATCCACATTATGTAAAATATGGTATTAAAATTCAAAATCTACCTTATTAATTAAACCAAATGTAAAAATACATTATATGCACATTCGAAAAATCATTTGGCAGCATAATAAGAAATTGTCAATTCACCTACCGCTGACGATATAGCACAATGTTAAAAACTCCTATAGGCTATATAGGAGTTGAAAAGTCATTCATGTTTGCAATAAAATATTAACTTTTAATTATCAGACCAACATTAAAAAACATTTGGTATTGTACGTGAAAGGTAATCTTCGATTAAAGGCCGATGAAAGATAACCTCGCTCTACCTTGATTAAGGGCAGTCAATTTAAACATAAACTTCAAACAGTTGCCAGTATTCCATGTCACTCTTACCCGTAAATTATTAACGGGCATATTAGTTTAGCGTTCTTGACTGCCAAGTCAGACTGCCTGGGTTCGACTCCCAACCAGGTCAAAAACTGTGTGATGGGGACGATCATTTGTTCTGAGGCTGGGTATAGCTTACCTATAACATGTATGTATTTAGGAATATATAAGTATGTTTAGCAGCTGTCTGGTTAACATAGTAAAATATGTGTGTTTAAAATGTATTATTATTATTACTACTAATGTCCCACCATGTTGAAATTCTCGCAAGCACCGGGTGTGTGGCCATTTGTGGACTTGTAGTGATTTTCCTGTTTACTAACCATCCTGTTACTTGAAGTACCATAGGGACGACATCCTGTTTTTTTTTGACGTGGTTATAATTCCATTTTAAACTAGGAATAGAACAGCGTAGATACCTCTAATATAAAGACTAAAATATCTGTAGACATTGTGTAGTTGTGTGAATAATTACTGAGGTGTCTGTGTACAATCAGTGAGTTGCAAACCTTATTTTCCTGGTGGAGTTTAGTTACCCTAGTTATTGCTGTAACTGCTGTGCTAACCATAAGTGTTATATCCAGGGCCAGACATGATTTCTAAATTTAATCTTAAATTTAAAGCATGTTTCCTTAGAAAACTGCATAGCCTACGCATGTAAGCTTAGATATATGGTAATTATTCTCCACCTTGTCGGTGAGACAAGGAACACGTGCGGCCTAGCCGGTTAAAATATCGGAAAATAATTAAACCGTATATTACTATCAAAGTTCAGAGAATCGGAATTAAAATTTAAACAGCTGACACTTAGGCTGATGGTGATAATTCGTTTTGTTTAGATTGCCCGTAAAATAACATCATATCAGTTATTTATTTGCCTTTATTTCCATACTTAGTTTTCTGTTTAGTTGTGTTGATTCTTAAAATCATTGTAGTTCTTAATTTTAATTTAATCCATGGATATTTACTTAGTTTTCTACATTAGACAAAAACTACTTAGGTATATTCCTATAAGTACTTAGTAAAGAAGTGAGAACTTGTGTAATTGTGGATGATTGTGTTGATTGCTAAAATATATAATAATAATAGTATTATTTCGTGTATAAATCGCTATATTAATTTACTTCTGAACGCCGGCTCACATTAAATACTCGTCACTTCGTTGTGCACTGATATAAGGATATTATGTGCCCTGTGTAACTAACGCTAATGAGCAGAATTATCTGATGTATTTAATTTAGTCGCTAAAAATATTTTAATCAGTTACAGTTATTGAACAAATGGGTTGTAAACGTTGAGGTGCTGCTTGACAAACATTAAAATGTTCGGCACCAAAATTAAGAAAAGACAAGCTAAGATAATATCTCTGTTAAATGTGAGTATACCTGAGCTCCTTCAACGTTTTTGTTGTATATATCACATATTATTTCTACTTGTTACATTTTACGACTATTTGTTGTTGTTTTTTGTGTGGCATTGAAAATCAACAATTAAGTTGTTAATCTATACAAATAAATAAAATTGAAGTGTCTGTTTGTATTGTCAAAACAATAGGTTTTTTTTTCATGTTAAAAACCAGTTTAAAAATTTTCTCTGTCTGTCTGTTTGTTCCGGGTAATCTTCAAAACGGCTGAATCGATTTCGATAATATTTTACTAAAAGGTTGTTGTCTATATAAGAAGTAACTTAGGCTATTTTTTCTCTCAGAAAAACCCTATAAAATCTTAGGCCTTGTGGACTGCAGACTGCAGACACTACACCACTAAGGCAGCGCTTTCAATTTCCATGCGAGCGTGGCGACAGGTGCCAGCTAGTTTATATAAAGACCCTCTACGGGACAGTCTTTAAATAAAATAACTCGAAAGGAAAAGATATTCTGCTTTATTACGCTTTCTATTATTATTTAAATCGGGTGATCGATTTCCAGGCAGCAAGTATCGTAACTGTAGGAAACATAAATGTTAGCCTTTTTAATCATTGGTAAGTTGTACCTAGCGCCAGCAAATTGTAAAATAATTTGTAAGTCCTCTGAAATTGCAAGAGTCCATAGAGTACGGTAACCATTTATAATCAGACGAGCAGTATACTCTGCCGTGGTAATCGAGAGGGCGAGTCGAAGGTGTCCATTGTTTTAGGGTTCCGTACCTACCTCAAAAGGACAAAACGGAACCCTTATAGGATCACTTTGTCTGTCTGTCCGTGTGTCTGTCAAGACCCTTTATCTCGGGAACGCGTGGAGGGGAGGTATCGAATTGAAATTAAAACCATACATACTTATATTTACAGTCCTTTAAAGATGTGAAAAAAAAACAATTTCTAAGTGAATGCGAAAAAAGATACGCCCGTTTATACATGAAAAATAGTATTTATTTAAAGTACATAATCAATCATCGAGGTACAATTTCACTTATAAAACACGATAATATAAGAAATTATAGGTTTTGGAAAACGAATTTCGGGTAAAGCTCGGAAAAACCTAACTCGATTTCTGAATTATTTACAATATGTACCTACAAGTTTATACGGAACCCTCGGTGTGAGAGTCCGACTCGCAATTGTCCCGATGTTTCATTTTTTATTTGGAATGTACGTCAAACGAGCTTTCCTTCTATCTAGGTTTCATACATCTACATAAATTAGAATTGAATTTTCTAATTTGTAATCTAGTTTAGTGTTCTAAAGAGCAGTATTTCATTAACATACTATTCACAAAAAAAAAATTGAAAATAAGTAGAGTAAGTAGTTGCTGCTGCGCTACTAGGTACGGATTAATGATCAATATATTCGGTCAGTCCGTGTCCGTCAGTGTCGCATATATTCGGATACAGTCCGCCTCCCGTAGGCGTACTGTTAGTCATAAAAGCGCCTAAACGACGTTACTTTCACCAGGGACCTGGTATTCTATCGTCGTCTCCGATTTAGGGGGCTCGGAGACAGTGACAGCCGCAGTTGAGAGAGGCCGTGACGCTTTTTTACATGTTTTGATGACCGTGAGACAGCAGTACATCCGATGTACTGAGTCGTGGTTGCCGCCTTTTTCTCAGCCTTGGCTATAGTTTATTATATACATAAGTGAAATATACTACAAAAAATATGTATAATAATGTGTACATTACGCTTAATTATACTTGGTGAACTTCGGGATTTTAAATAAGTTCATTCACTTTTAAAAGAAATAGGGTATCTTCATTACATGCCTTCACACTTTTGTTATATGTTTTTCTAAGGCTGGAAATGTATGGATCTGATGTGTAGAGAAGTGTATGAAATACATCTTCATTTGTAGCTGATCGAGAGCACTTCCTGGCATGATGAAGGCGAAATTTTTTATAATCCTTATTATGGCATTCTTACGCATCTTCTGAAAGTTGACCAATAGGAAGCACAGCAAAATGCTTAGTGATACTTTCACCATGAATTAAAATTTTGTGAACTGAATATGGCATGTAGTACCATTCACAATTACTCACATAGAGTCTGGCAGTTTCCATGGCATAATTTCCAAATTTTTCAGCATTTATGACTCCACTTGATGTAAGAGGTTGTAAAATTATGTACAACCCTGTAATCAAATTTACATCCACCCCTGTGATGTTAAAAGAACAGTCTGCATTGTAAAAAAAATCTTCTAGCAGTATTACCATCATTGGTATTACCACTTACTTGTCGTGGTTTGTCGACCATCAATCCTAGCTCCTCACAAAAACGTTTTTGGACTAGAGTTTTCATTTCTTGCTTTTGTTGTTTCTTTTCTTCACTTGTGGCTGACCAAGTTTGAAAAGAGAGGTTGTATAAAATATCTGATATCATTTCTATACAACGAATCCAGGCGTGCAATTTGTCAATGTAGAAAGTCCGTATTAATATGAATTTTGATTTTCTGGCCTAGCAGTCACATTAGTCAGATCACTCTTTTGCCGTGGAGTACCTCCACAAATTGTACATGTGGAACCAAAAGGTTTATACGTTAATACTTGAGCTACTTTACCATCCACCATTGTCATAAAGAGTTCATGCTTCACCTTCTTTATTAATCAACGATGGCCCCAAGAAAATGATTTGATTCTTTATTTCATCCACAACAGCTTTAGTTTTTTGAGGAGTTTCTTTGCAAAATTCTATTGATATAGGCCGACAATAACCGACTATCGAAGGCAATGGATTTTGCCAAACAATATCGCCCGTTATCTCATTCATTAATTTGATAGGCACTAGAGATGTAATAAACAAATTAGCATCAGAAAAATATTTAGACTCCTCTGGAAGTTTTTGCTTGTATTGACTTTAAGCAGATGAACCATCACATCCCCATTTACTGTATAAAACTAAATGGCTTAATCCATTGTTATACACCGAATCTATATCCAAAAATTCTAGCTGCTGTGTGGTCCAATAAATCTTGAAGATTCAGTATTTTTCCATGTGTATTTGTAATTTCTATGGCGGATAACATCTTTCTTTGATTTCTTGTATTTTATAATATAGTGGGAATATAAAACAGCTTCGTTCGTTAGTTGAATTCCGGTATTGTGCTTTCGTTAGATCTAAATCAATGAAAACACTTAATGCTCGGAATTGCTCTAGCTTGCGTGCTCTCAAATATAGAAACTTATTTAATTTTATTTATTTTATTATATTTGGGGAGCTTACGGCTAAATTTACAAAATAAATATGATGTTAATTATCTAGATGTCATTTACAAGCTTCCACATGTAGAAAGAAGACAGTGCTGGTATCTATAATAATACATACTAAATAGACTTACACATACATGGATAGTCACAACAATTTTAGATCTAAAGACGTAACATTTTCGAGATTTCTGGTGCTACAGCAGAATAGATGGATGACTTCATTGTGGTTTATTCTATTAAAAGATCCTTGGTATGTAGCTATTATACCGATAATTACCATGGCAAAATGGAACATGGAGTAGACTGCTACTGGAACGCAAATTTCTGGTGGGCACATTAAGTTTAATATTGCAAAGGATATCAGGACAGTCTAACCTGCTTTGAGCTATATTTAAGAGAAGACAGATATCTGCTATTTTTCTACGGAGAGAAAGAAGCAAAAGATTTAGTTTACTGCATTGCTGTTCATAATCAAAATATGGTAGTTTAAATGGTGTGGCATCTGTTCAATTTTTTCAAACCTCAGTGATTTTTAAATGCACCATTATAATCAATAATTGTAAATTGCTTTGTAATATGTAAAAAAAATAAAATAAAAAAAAAACATCCTTTTTTCTCGACGCTTCTGCCCATCGTATAGAGGATGGGCAGAAGCGTCGAGGAAAAAGGATATATAAATATAATATAAAGCGAGGAATAAGATTCCTTTGAATATCATATGAAATCCACATGTCGTCTTCAGAAACATTATAGTTTGCTTTTAAAACTGTTGATAGAGTTTCAAGTTTTTTTCTTCCTTCAATGTATGAAAATAATAATTCACGCTAAGAACACTTGAAAGTAGTAGACATTTTGAAATTCAGCGAAGATACGAAACAGTCAAACGTCTGGTTAGTTTATTACGAATTTGTAATAGTGACATTAAAGGAAGCCACTCTTTACATATTATTTGATAAATGAGAGTGGTGTGCATTTTGTTTATTAAAGTTGCCCGCAAACTGAGTGCAAAATGTAGATAAAACGCCCTATTACAACAACGCCCTGTAAACAACTAATATTGAATAAAAATATACCGCAAACTAATCAATTAAATAGTTACACAATAGAAACTACAATAGATAGTTGTTTTCTGTTTAGTAACTTTTATCACACTTTTCGTGATAACTTCGGCAACCTGTATCCGCAGCTGATTTTTATAACTGTTATTTATGAATATCTACGCTGCAAAACAACATCAAATGTGTCGGGAGTTGTCGGTAACTGCCTAAAGCCTTGATGAAGTTAAAAAATTGTCCTTTTCCTCTCACTTCTTATTAAAAAAAAACATAGATATCTATAAAAATCTAAAAATCATAAAAAAAAACATAAAAATCTACATGCAATGAGGTTTTTGAGATGTAAAACACTTTATAAATATTCCTTTGTTTATAATATTATTATACTTTGTGACATTAAAAAAATAATTCATAACGTAATTAATGCCAAATCACTGCATTATATTAAAGTTCCATTTTTATACTATTCAATAAACTTTTAAAAGTGCCTCAATACCGATATTAGTAAAAAAGATTTTTGATGTGCCATTGTTCTACCGTTTCCATAGTGCTACGTAGCAACAGATGTACTGTTCACTTTAAAAATCACCGATTTCAGTAGAGTACCCTTTTTTTTTTGTTGACGGGGTGGAAAATCCCTTCGGATCTCCTGCTCCTCGGGGACTATGAGCCAGGAGTATGTGGTGATTCCACTAAAAACCACCCCGACGGCCGGCCTCAGGTGTCCTGCTCTGGGGAGGACCCGGACCATGTTATTTCAGGTCCTCCCCGAATTGACACCATGCCTAATCAGGCCCTATCCCAGGGGAGAACACTTCCCCCCTCAATCGCGGCATATCGGCCCGATCGCATCTTAATGCAATCAGACCGTTCATTCCATGCCCTACCGCAGCAATCAGTTTGCCACCAGAGGTCCCCTCTCTGGCGGCCTGCGGCCCCGTCGATGGCTGTTATCGGCGCCGACGTCCTCTACGTTCGGGATCGGCCCTCTCCCGATCCCGTTCAGCGGTCTCTTTCTGGAGCATTACAGCTTCACAGAAAGAGACCACTGCGCCCCATCCCTCCTCACCCGCCAGCATGGCAGCAATAATTGCTGGCGGGGACAGGTCTCGTCCAATTTGGCCGACCAGGACTTCGCGTTCAGACGCCCACGCGGGGCAGTCTTCCAAGGTGTGCTGGGCGGAGTCTCAGTCGGCTGTCGGACGCTGGACTTGTCTGTTTTTTTTCAAATAAAAAGAAGTAGCAAGTATTTTATGCCATTGTGGTGTAAACCTGCAACTACGACTTCCTTGGTCAAAGCATTATTGACATGCTCTGAAATAAAAGTCACAGGATCTACCCATGACTTTTATTAGCCTTCGGGTCCTTTTACAGATTAAAATGCGGATATGTATATTTTTTTGAAAGCGTTATTAAATTTATCGGTGTCGTCGTGTCTCTTTCCAATTATCTAAGTTAAACGTCTTTGTTTCTTCTTTATTAACAATCACGACGATATCATAGACAATACGACATACATGTGCGATTTGTAAGACTAATCAATAAACAAAAATTGAGTGCCCTTTTCATCGTCAACCGATGATGTATATTTTAGTTATATGCTAAATTATTATGGTTATGTATAGATACGTATTTGTTTTCTTACAGAGTTTACCAGAATGTACCCCGGAAGAAAAGAAACAGAAAATACAATCAATACAAGGTCTCTACGCCTTGGAATTGTTTGACATGAAAAAATACCCTCAAGCCTTAGCAGAGTTCTTTAAATTAAACACCGATCCTGCTGAAGTCATAAAATTGTTTCTTGAACTGGATGGAAAGTCAACTGAAGAAAAAGTAGAAGTGAAAAAAATAAAAGGCAAAGATCTAGAGAGTGCTTTAAACGCTTTGATACAATATTTAATAAAAGTAAAGAAGAATATCTTGGAACTGTCACATGAATCTGGTAACGGTCAGACGGATATAGTAAAAGAGTGTCATAAGCAACAGTTAGAATTAATAGACACTACTTTGTTGAAGTGCTACTTAGAGGTGAATAAAGTACCTACCTAATATTTTTGATAAATAATATAAAATAAAAAAAAGTTCACTTTAAAAACTTCAAATAATCTATATTTTTACCATTATCAACTAAAAGCAAAACGAAAACTCTTACATGTGTAACACTGTGTTTATATGTTACCTACCACAACTTGTAATGAGTGTATTTTGCTCTTTACTTTGTTTGTCATGTGACCTGTGTATAATCAGTCTTGTGACCTTTGTATAAATAGTCCTTATAAGCTAAGCGGCCAAATTTCGCCACTTAGATAACCATCTCATCGAGGACTGGATGACGATGTGAACGCCTCAAATGTAAGGGCTTGATCCCGCTGATGACCTCTTGTGAGGATCATGGTTGAAGGGACGTCTGCGGTTTTGTTGCTTTGCGGTGTGTTCGACCTTGCATTATCACAAGTGTGTTATCGGTATCAAAAATCTGCTACAGGTATCAAAAACGCCTCCTAGAAACACACTTTTAATTTTTTAGGCTTTTGGAACGAAGTTAATTAACGCCTGTTACACGGTCTGATCGGATGGGAGCGACACCGATAAATGTGTAACAAGACTTTTTTCCCACACTTCATGCGTAACTTCGTTCTGACCGGTGGCCCATAGACCCCTCACGCCGTTTTTGTCTATACTTTTGATAATATTTTTCTTGGTAGACAAAACAAGCATTGGTTACTCCACTGTTGCGCGCCAACAACTGTAACTTAGAAGAAGCTGAGAAGACACTCCTACGTCATGGGAAGAATAATGAATTGGTGTTATTGTACCAGATGAAGGAACAACATGAGAAAGCTCTCGAGATACTAAGAGAACAATCTAAACGAGAATCTGCCATTGAAGTTTATCAGCGCACGGCAAATTACTTGCAGCAGCTGGGTTAGTACTGAACTATTCCGAAAGGTCACCCTCCCATTTTAAATGATATCTACTGTACTGTTTATCTATAAACCTTTATGAAATCTTTATTTTATTTATAATTAAAAAATTCATTGTCTACTATTTTTTTTAATGTTAATTATACATATATTTTATATAACATTTATTATAAACATACATAATATTTTTCTTTCAAGATAAAGTATCGACCAGATTACTTAAATCAAAGACGAAAGACCCTTAAAATTTTTCAAAACAATTTTCCTTTTTTGTTTTCGTAGGTTTCTTTTTGTGATGTGTATAGCTATTGTTTGGAATTAAAATACATTTAACTTGTTTGTTACAGGATCGGAACATCTAAGTTTAATATTCAAGTTCTCAGCGTGGATATTGAAAGAGGATCCAGACGAAGGCTTAAAGATATTTACCGCAACCATAGAAGCAGTAGAAAAGTTACCCCGCCCAAAGATATTGAATTTCCTACTACGAGATCATAAAATGGTAGTGATACCATACCTGGAACATGTCATACACATTTGGAACGATACGGATGCGTTATTTCATAACGCTCTAATAGATATGTACCGAGATAAACTAACAGTCGAAAATAAAAATATTCCCGAAGAAGACTTTCAAAATATAAAGTCGAAATTATTATCATTTTTAGAGGCCTCTACGTATTATACACCCAAAAGTGTCTTGTTGCATTTTCCACAAGACAGTATGTTCGAAGAGAGAGCAATTGTTCTAGGGAAATTAGGAAGGCACGAACAAGCGCTCGCTATACATGTGTTAATCTTAGGTAAGTAAAGTTAAGCTACGCATAGAACAGTTTAGGTAAAATTTATAAATTTCTCTATGGTTTCAACTGCGGCAGATACACCTTTAATGTCACCAGAAAGGGTTTTTTTAAATAACATGTCAAATAGTTTACTTTATTTATTTTTTGACTTTTCTACTTTTAAAGACATCAAAATTGATTAATACAAAGTTTTATAAAATTGTCATGCAATAACTAGTCACAACAATATTTTGGTACACTAAACGCAGCGCTTTTTCTAGAGGCAGTAAAGCGTTACTGATTTTCTGAATACAGAACAAGTAATAAATATACATAGATCTTTTTGTAAATAATTTCGTTTTACATATAATAATAACCAATCCTAATTTTACCATGCTCATTGAAAACATGCCACCACATAGTCTGTCATTAGTGTAAACATATACTTGGTATTTTTTTCTAGTCAAAGAGTGCATTAAACATGTGACTACTGTGTGGTTCTATTTCCAGGTGACATAAATCGAGCGATACATTATGCCGAAAAGGTTAGCGCCGCTTCTAGTGATAAATATCAAGATGTCTTCGTGAGCCTAATGCGAATCATCATGTACCCAAATCAATGCGATTGTCTAGATGGACTTCTAGCCAACGTTCCCAGACATCCGAAAACATCCGTAGGGGACAATGAAATTGCTTTGCATATTCTAGAGAAGTACATTCATAAAATATCGCCGTTGAAAGTAAGTACGATACAAATATAAAGAGGAGCTTTAAAGATTTTGGTTATTATTTCTAAGGATGTATTGTATGCTGAATCATTGCATCTCAGTTTTAATTTGTAAATAGGAAGTTTTTCTGAGTTTGACAGAAACTTTTTGGTATGTTCTCTGTTTTCTACACTTAGGATGGTAAAATCGATTTGGAAATTTTTCCTTTTGTTTGTCTGATAATGTGGTCTTGGAGAAATTCGGCGAACCCTTGGTGCATCACCAAGCACCATTGAGGATTGTGAGTAATTCACGGGTTGAGATTCGATTATTTTGATAAAGTTGCAATTTTTGCGAAAGGTCTTGAAACTTACACAAATAACAAACTGATACACTAAGAAGCAAAAATATAGGAAACTGAAGAAGTTTAGCAGCTATCTATTTATCATCCCTAAGGAAAAGTAGGTGACTAGCGGCGGCAAGTTACACAGAGGCGCGAGCGTAGAATTTTTAAAAACGAAAAAATATATGCCTAACATAAAAATAAATGTATATGCACATACTTACACAATATAAACAATTCTTTAATTCTGTTAATGTTTAAGGTTGACATCTTTTCTTTTTGTTGACCGGGTGCAAAAAACCCTTCGTATCTCCTGCTCCTCGGGGAAACAGGAGCCAGGAGTATGTGGTGATTCCACAAAAGACCACCCCGACGTCCGGCCTCAGGCCCTACTCTGGGAGGACCCGGACCATGTTATTTCAGGTCCTCCCGTAATTGACACCATGCCTAATCAGGGTCTATCTCAGGAGAAATACACTTGCCCCCCTCAATCGCGACGTGGCGGCCCAATTGCGTCTTAATGTAATCGGGCCGCCATCCTATCTCCTACCGCAGCGTTCCATCTACCACCAGCAGAGGTTCCCACTCTCTGGTGGCCTGCGGCCTCCTCTACGCTCGGGATCGGCTCTCTCCGGATCCCGTTTAGCGGTCTCTTTCTGGAGCATTACAGCTTTACAGAAATGGCCAGTATGGCAGCAATAATTGCTGGCGGGGACAGGTCTCGTCAGATTTCGTCAAATAGGACTTCGCAGTCTTCCAGCGTGTGCTGGGCGGAATTCCAGTAGACTGTGCTAGCACAGTGCTGGCATTGTTCTGTCTCGTCGCGTCCGATACGATTCAGGTACTCACCGAAGCAACCAACATCAAGCATGGTTGACATTTAGGGTTTACGTAATTGCCACTACTTCTTTGCTTTCTGATACCTTCGAAAATTAAGTCTCGCCGCCCAGAATAAGGAGCTCCTCTAGCGCCCTCAGAGGGTGGTTGCGGAACTCTCCTATGAGATTTAGAGCTGGAAATAAGCGGCGTAAGGGGTCTCGCCTTACGCCACTGACTCGTTTGTCGTCCCGGCTGGAGGCTTCACATACTGACTTGACTTGACCGTGGAGGCGCTACAGCTGGTCATCCACTAGTGGGCAGATTCGCAGCACTGGTCTTTTCTTTCCGACTGACGCAGGTCCTTTCTGGGCACATCTACTTAGGAAAGTACCAGTAGTCGATCGCTAGGAGTAAATTGAGTTGCGCCTGTCACTATTGCGACTGCAATGAGAACTCGGCTCAGTACATACTGGTCAATGTGACGTCGAACCCTCATTGTAGTCATCAGAGAAGGTTTCTGGCTACAAGCTGTAATAAAGTTCATGGCTGGTAGCAACAGATATTTTACTGCGGTCGCATCCTTCTGCGAGGGCGTCCCGTCGAACATCGTCTACGCATGGGTGCTTCGCGATGACTTTTTGGATGGTGGCGCCGTCACGTGCTAAGCAGATGTAAAGCTCGTGATGGCGTGCTGTATGACGCACCATAACGATCTGTCAGCTGCGTCTCAAGGTGTCTCTGCACAAATCTGAGGACTTGTTCTTTCATGGGCCTCGAAGGGAGCCACTTGAGGGATCCATCCTCATAGTAGGAGGCAGTCGCGTCGACATCGAGCGGTGGATGAGGTGTCTGGTGCTCGTACTGGGTTGAGATCCTGGGACTCGAGAAAACGAGGACCAGGAATCGTAACTCTGCCGGGTCTTCGTGGAGGAGTGGAGGGAAAGGCTTGGGCAAGCACGGCCGGATACGGCGTTATCGCGGTGGTATAACCCGTTACGGAGTTCCTCTCATACCGGCTGACGCATGAGATCATCTGTGTATAATCTGCAAGGAACTAACTCCTACGAGTAGGTGTCACCATTGCGGTGGCCAGAGCGATAAAATGAATGAATGAAATCTTCGTCACCTCCTTTTGCGAGCAAGTTATGCTTGAAAAGGAGAGGTCGCAGCGGGATCTGAAGAGGCCTAGAACTCTCCCGGTCCGCAGGTCCAACTGTTTTCGGATCTCTCCTATTTCAGGCGCAGTTTACACAAAACCCGGTGGAGGGACATCCCATGGGGTTTTCCACATGTAAAAAAATTGAATTAAAGTTATAGTAAAGATATGACAGCTACAATTTAGTAACACATTTAGTAACGTCAACTAGTAGCGATTAATAATATAGTATGGGTGATAGATAGATGCAGGAGGCGCCGATGACATGCTTGCCTAGGGCGCTCGTGATACTTTATGTTAGAAATAAGATTTCTGAGTTGTTAAATTAAATAGAATGGAGGTGGTTTTCAATTCGACCGATTTATTGTGTATGTTATCTATTTGCCATCTTGTGCAACTGTGAACTGACAAAATGAATATACTCGTATACATAGTGTTAAAAGAATGCTCTCTGAGTCTCTACTCTTATTTCTAGACTTCAAGTATGGCTATTACTTCACTTTTAAAGTTTAAAGGAAGCGCTTTAGCATCCTAATGGGCTACTAGAACTATCTATTGGACTACTAGGATACCGCGGCACTGTATTTATATTTAGTCTGGATTCGCTCATTATGATTGTTTTTCGATCCTACTATCTGGTTAGAGTTTTGTACGGCATCTGAAATGCTATAATAAGTTGAACATTTTTTTTTTTCATTTATTTTGTTTTCTAAATGAACTGATTAGCAGCAAATACGCAGCAATCCCATCGTGTGCTATGTGCTAAATAGTAGGCGTTTGGCGTAGCAAAGTCGTGTAGCGCGAGACACTCATATTCCGAACGCTGCACTAGTGCAGGGCCTCAATTCTGTTATTTTATGTTAACGCCAAGTCATTGTCATTCCATTGACAAGCAAAATTGTGGTGCCATTAAGGGCATTAAGATGCCATTGATATCGGTCAAAATATCAGTATTCTACTAAAATAAATTCACAGTGTCAATAGTCTGTCGATATAGTAATAAAGATCAGGAATGGTGATCTCAAGAACATTGCCATACCTGGAAAATAGACTATATCATTTTGTTACAAATTTAAAATGTACCGTTTGCCAAACTGTTTCAAAGACATCGACGACATTTATATCAGTGACAAGTCATTAGGGAGGCCATTGGTCTTACATAGATGGTAGAATATGAAAAGTGCAAAACTATTCCGACGACATTCCATTGACAGTCTATTACTACAATATTAAAATAGCAGAATTGAGGCCCAGTTGGCACAGCACGCCATTCGCCACCGCATCTGTGTGTCTCGATATTCGTGCTTCAGTACCATTAATTCTCGTATCTGAAGTTTGAGTCCAGAAAAGGCTCTACAATTACTCGATATTGCATTTTACGAATATTTAAAACGACTCCAGTCGCACCCGCCAGGAAAGATATTTAGATTAAGTGTTGTAGACACTTAATCTAAATATCTTTCCTTATACAAGGAATCCAATAACAATGCAAGGACCCATCATAACTTAATAAGCTAAATAAACAATGTCAAAAAATAAACATAATTTGCACACGTTCGATTCAAAATTTCCGACATAAATATGTATGTATATACACAATTTATGTTTATATTATATTTAGTTATATTATCAATGTATTTCGACCCAACCCAATCACAAGTCCGTGTGGTGACGGATTAAGAATGCAGAGTGTCACCACCCCTATTCATCCCGTGGGTGTCGTAAGAGCCGACTAAGGTAGCAAACTACGCAGGACAACTGCACTGCAGAGAGAAGGAAAACTTGAAACAAACCCTATACCAACCCGTCTGGCCAGCGTGGTATAGTAGGCCAAAACCACCTTTCTAAGGAGAAGCCTATGTTCAGCAGTGGACTGTTAAAGGCTGTTGATAATGATTGATGATTTCGACCCAAACTCAACTTTCGCGTAAACGGAGCCAATATATGTAGATACTTATATACCGAGGTGTCGGTAACGGTAACAGTGTCAGGAGTTCAATGGTTTTTGCCCATCCCCAAAAATACAAGGGTTAGTTGTTGCTACGTCAGCCCGAGCAAGACCTATTTCTTAGCGTTCGACAGATTCAGCGTGCGGGTGCCAGATCCATCGCGGGCAACCTGGGACTTGCGACCCAGGTATAGGTTTAGGAAGTACTCCTTGCGACGAGTCAGCTCTACTGTCTGCTGTGTTACCCCCTTTATCTAACCATATTTGATACGAGCCTAGCAATGCCGCTTTGGATATTGGTTCAAGAAATGAGCTCTTGGCAATCCAAGGTCTTTAGGAAGGTTATAGAGGGATTGAGCTGGTATACCCCTCGCACCCACTTCCACAGTACACAACGCAACGACAGAACCATTTTTAGTTATTTCGTTGGTTATTGCAATGTACTTGTTTCTTTTTAAAGCGTCACCGTGAGTTCTGCTAGTACTACACGCTTAATTGAAATTGCATAAAGAAATATATCTGGTCTAGACGCCGAATCACAGATATCCTCCTCCAGATATTTATAATTGAGAACGGCTTTTGTGAAGTCTTTTTTGTTGAGCCTTCCTTTACCAACGCGATTATAGTTCTTATGTTTGTTGTTATTCCTTTTTTCGCTCTCGTCAGCGATAAACTTATAGCTTCGCTAAAACATAATTTGTAATACCATATCATGGCGACGTGAATAATGACGCTGGTCTAATAGCGCCTTACAACCTGTCCGTAATTGCCTGGCTGTACCAATTTCCGCAATGCACATCGTACAAACCTTTTCTGTAGCTTTACCCCATCTTACTAAGTTGCTTTGATCGGGGAGAGCCAATTGAAAGGCGTTGATGTAAAATTTTAACAGGGCAGGTGACCAATCGTATAAAATTGAGCGCCATTTCAAAGCTGGTAGAATAAATAAAAAGTAATATGTACTATGTAATACTAAGTAAGTAATACTATGTGACATAAATATGTAATTCTTACAATTTTTTAGGCATTATCAGTGTTGCCAGACTCTGTGCCTCTAATTCGTTTAAAACAATTCTTTGCGAGCTCTCTCGACGTACATTCAACTATGAAGCGACATATACAGATTTTGAAAGGATTGTCATATGCTGAACACATCTACGTAAGTTTAATCGTATACTAGAAAAGTACTTCTTGCTAGAGGCTGAAATGTACACAGCTAACAAAAAACTTCCAATCTTAAAACCTGTAAATGATTTAGAAAAGATAGACTTTATGGATCAGCTAGTTTAGCAAATCTCTATCGTATAATCTGTATAAACCCCATAGTTCTTTTGTAATAATCAAAATATGGATCAATTGCAATTCATGGTATTAATAAGAAAATTAATAAATTTTACTCCCTTACAGGTACAAGAATTGCAAGAGTACTTCGAATCACAGAGCGTTGTAATAAATGAATATGACATATGTCATGTGTGTAAAAGGCGTTTCGGTAACCAGAGTGCGTTTGTGAGATATCCCAATGGTGAAATCGTGCATTACTCGTGTAAGCTTAACAAATAATCGTCCCCTTCTATCTAAATATTTTAGTGTATTTCTAAGCCAATAAATTTTATTCTTATTAGAATTAGGTACCCATGAAACGTTTTATTAAGCGGTCGTTGGTCATACTGTCTTGATCTAATATAGATTCATTTTAAATTGGACAATTGTACTATTAAAGTAGTAAATAAAGAGAAGATATTTTCTTGAAAATTATGATGTGTAACGGTTCACAAAACCGACAAAGTTAGAATCTAGGCAGCGTAGGAAATATTTATGGTAGGGGAGAGTGGGGGAATCACGGACGCGGGGTAATCGCGGATACGTTCGTTTGGCTATGTTATAAAAGGATAGAAGATATTCCGAGTAATGCAATCGTGAGTCGATCCCGAACCTAGTGCCGAACAAAGAGTGGTGAAGCTACAACGCACTCGGTGTAAAAGGTATGTTAACTTTTTGTTTTTTCAACAATTTCATATAATTTTTGAGTAAAATTGAATAGATATATAATATTTTAGGTGTAACATAGAAATTCGGTATTTTTTTTATGTATTAACGTCTTAATTCAAGAATGTTTCTAAGGACTTGCCGCGTGTATAACGCGATTCTAACCTAAAAAAAAAAAATAGTTTTGTGATAACGTGTCTGTTGGGTAATTACGGACGATTTCAGTGGGGTAACCCCGACCGTTCGTAATTACCCCTGAACAATTAAATTATTGTTTTTTATTTTATAATTTATATCCAGCAGTCTGCAGCATGATAATAATGATGAATTTTGATGAAATACATTTGATTAAGTTTGTTTTTATGTTTCTCTGCTTTCAGCACTGTACCCTCACGAGCTTATTTATACCTACTCAAATATGTTTCAGATGCCACGAAATTACCAAAGAAAGACGGAGACCAAATACAAATTAGAAGACTTAGAAAGAGCCATTCGGGTTGTTAAGAACAAAAAACTTTCACTAGGAAAAGCAGTTTGGCCAATAGATCCAAATAAATTTGATAAACATTTTGTAGATGCATCATTACCACCTGAAAATTCCAGTGTCAATTTTCAAGCTGACAAAGCGTTGACACTTGATGTGCAGATAGCATCAACATCAAATGGCGAAGAAAGAGTAAAACCTGATACACATATACTATCGACATTAAATTATGTGCAGCAGAAACCAGTAACCTCTGAAGCTGTGTTAGACAATTCTATCCCACTTGAAGATATTGTTAATGTTCCCAAAATGCCACAACTAAAAAATAAACGAACTTTCAGAAAAAAAACATTCAGCTATAATAACCAGTAGTCATATGAAAAATATTTTAGAAGAAAAAGAAGAAAGAAAGAAAAATAAGGAGTACATGAAAGGAAGGGAAAAGGCTGCTAGTTCCACTAAAGATTCCAAGAAAGGTGTGAAGAATCGTCAAGCATTTGCAGATACTGATATTAAGATAAAGGTTTAAGAAAAGGACGTACTGCGTAAGAAAAAGAAAACTAAAGAAAGAGATGCGAAAAAAAATGAGTATTTTTGCTTAGTTTGTGATGAAAAATATCAAGATCCTCCACATGAAAATTGGATAAAATGCTACAGATGTAATTTATGGGCCCATGAAAAGTGTACGAGTGGTGAAAGTTCATCAAAAGGATTTATATGTGATTTGTGTGATGATTAGATTATGTCCGTGATTACCCCACACACCGTTCGTAATTACCCCCCGTGTTGTGGGGTAATCCCGAACCCCATAGTTTTGTTTTCTTATTAATATTCGTTTCTGTATTGAAAGTTTATCTATGTTGCTTATCAGAACTTAAGGTTCATTAGTTAAAGTAAATGTTAAGTAATAAATGACATTCGTAACTTAGTCTAGTTTTGTTTAATTTCAATTTCCCCTTAAGTGTTCGTAATTACCCCACTCTCCCCTAAGTAAATTTAGATTTTAACTCACTACACAAATAAATAAAATCATGAAAAATCTTTACATTAGTTTTCTTATTATTATAATTATGAAAGCACTATTATTGTAGCAGTATAAATAACAAACCGATGCAATAAAATAAAAAATAAATCGTCCAAATCGACTTCAAACAAAATTGTCTATTTAACTATTTCGTGAATCGATTTCAATAAATCTTTTTTATTATACCCCCCACGTTCCCATAAACTCTCCGGGGTTATCGAATCAGCTAGTTTGCACATACTTTCGTTGTTAGCCACTCAAAACTAAAAACCTCCAAAGCTCAGTCCTAAGGTACTACACGTTCGCTGTCACGGAAGGATGGATAAAGATAAACTTCGATATGAAACCCGTGCTGGAGGCCGCTACAGTAGATGACAAAGTTAACTTGTTTAACACCATCTTAACAAACATTTACGATCAACACGCTCCAATCACAAAGATCAAATTAAAGCGTCCTCCGGCCCCCTGGATAATCGTAGGTGTTCGAGAAGTGTTGTGTTGAAGGTAGGTGTTGTGGTCAAAAAGACAATCCAATCAAATCTAACGCCATGGGATGTGATAACATTAACCGTCGCATGATCATCCCTATCCTCGATTACCCTCTTCCCGTGCTTACGCATATAACAATTTTTTCTTTTGACTCGGGGACTTATCCCACATCGTGGCGTAAGGCGTTTGTCATACCCCTTCACAAGATCCCGAATCCAAGACTCCTGAATCACCTGTGAGATGCCCAATCTCCGTTCTTCCCTTCCTGTCCAAAGTCCTCGAGGCCTGTGTGAACGAATAACTATCCCAACATATTTACCGTAACAACTTACTAAGCCCTTTCCAATCGGGGTTTAGGCCAGGGCAAAGCACTACTTCCGCACTGATAAAAGTGACCGGTGACATCCGAGCAGGAATTGAGCAATCCAAAGTTACTGTGTTGGCTTTGGTTGATTTCTGAAATGCATTCGACACCGTCAGTCACACCGATACATTGGAATAGTTTTCCTCACATCTTCAGTCTGTCCGCGCCTCTTCAAGTTGGCGTGAGCTTGACTGTGGTGCCCCTCAAGGTGGCATTCTCTCTCCTCTATTATTCTTAATATTTATCAATCTCATCACCCCGAACCTTCAATGTGCGTACCATCTTTGTATTTGTGTGCGGACATAAATGATGCCATTTTTATGGTTGACAATGACCTGGAGGCTATTAGCAGTTGGGCTGATGGGTTTGGCAGTGAATCCAGCGAAGTGCCAAGCTATCATCATAGGCAGTCAGCGCATGACTGGAAGGATGAATCAAGACAAACTGCCACCCATTACTTACAAGGGCGTAGTCATTCCCTTCAGTCCCTCTGTTAAGAGCCTAGGCCTATTTATCAACTCCAAGCTCAGTTGGCAAACCCAGGGCACCAGCGTCAGTCAGAGAGTCACAGGTGCGCTACGGGCCTACTATCGGCTTAAAAACTTCCTTTCTTCCGAGACAAAAGCGATGCTAGTACAGACCCTTATTGTCCCTATCTTGGATTATGGTGATGTATGCTATTATGACCTGAATGCAGATCTCCTTAATAAATATGACCACCTTCTGAATAACTGCATTCGATTCGTCTTTAACTTTCGCAAATACGACCATGTTTCCTCCTCTCGTCGCGAATTGAACTGGCTCACGATTCGTCAGCGCCGTCAGCTGCACGCTCTCACCACCTTCTATACCATACTCCACTCACCTATTTCCCCTTCCTACCTGACATCCTCATTTCTATTTCTATGTTTTAATCACCACAGAACCCTTCGTTCCTCAAACAATCCACTTCTGTTATGCCCCACTCATACTTCCGCATGTGTCCACTCTTCGTTCCTAATCTAATCTGTCCTCCTCTGGAACGCTCTGCCTTTGGAAATTAGGATAGCACCCAGCCGTCTCTCATTTACGACGAAAGTCCGACCTCGAATTCTCGACACTCAAGCAGATTCATCACATCCCTAAAGTTTTATATAGTGTATTATATGTATGTATGTAACTCAGCAAGTATATATGTGTGTATGTCAGTGTGTATGTATGTATATCCGTCAGACTGGTTCTGTCGACATCCTTAATTATTATTATCTCGTTACATGTAAAACTTAATTTCTAGTGCACCTACTCAGACATTTCCCCACCACCAAAGGTAGACTGGGAGTCCGCCATTGTACAATTAATTGTTGTTTGTGCAAAAAGAATTAAATAAAAAAAAGGTGTTTGTTTTCAAGTAAGTAAATAAAGTTTAAAATTATTCTCTGGATTTTATCTGCGCAATGGCACGGTTGCCATAGCAACCTGTCAACTTTTGTGTCAATTTCCAAAATTGACTCAAAAGTCGAACTTTTACAGCACAGAGTACAGTAATACTATTAGAGATTTTACAGCAATTTAAAAATACGTGATCTTTTACAGTAAACTAGTAATACCTTTGATATTTCACAGTTTTTCTTTCGTCGGCTAAGGTTTGCAGAGGTAAGACGTAAGACGCTGATTTTGATAGTAATTGACTAGTCTAGGGATGGAATAAAATCACAATCTCCTGTTAAAAATCATATGATTTATAATATGTATAATCACACCTATGACCAATTTATAAAACCACTACGACTTATGATACGCTAGCGCCGGACTTGCAGAGGTCTAAATCTAAAAAAAGTGTCGTAGTCTTTGTTTGTTTGGTTTTTCTTTGCTTAAGTTTTTGATTTCATCTCCTTGTCTAAATAAAAAAAAGATATCCCTGTAGGGATTTCACCTGTGATAGCACAGGTGAAATCGTAGTGACTAAGTTTTTACTTTCATCATATGATTATGATTTAAAAGTAGCAATGATTTCTATCACTCTACTGCCCATGGACACCTGTAACTCAAAAATTACAAATGCAGTGCCACCCTTTGTGTCTCGCAGCATGGCTCTCCCACTTATAAAATTATGTCTGATGGGAGTAGCGTCCGTGTGGTGACAGATTAAGAATACGAAGTATCACCCCCCTATTCATCCCATGGGTGTCGTAAGTGCCGACTAAGGGAGCAAACTACGCAGGACAACAGGACTTCAAAGAGAAGGAAAACTTGACACAAACCCGTCTGCGCAGCGTGATTAGTAGGCCAAAAACCTCCTTTTTAAGGAGAGGCCTATGTCCAGCACTGGACTATTAAAGGCCTTTGGTGATAATGATAAGAGTACCTAAGGTTAACAGTTAAAAATATATATTAATTCAAAAAAAGAAAAGATAAAAATACGATAACAGTTAAACGATGGTTTCGAAAAAACCACCATGAGTCTAGATTGATCAATGAAATGACTTATTTTTGTGACATACTGTGAGACTGGCATGAATCAAAGCAAACGCTATCTATGAACTATTTATTATGGTTTTTGTTATACAATAGGGATCAAACGAGTAGACGGCTAACCTGATGGTAGTGACTACTACCGCCACTCCACCTGAAAATCAAGAGATACAAGTATTCCCACCCCACCTCACAATTATAGCAGCCGGTAACCTCACTCAGTAAAAATCAATAAAAGAATGCTTGACACCGATTACCTGTCAGGCCGTAGTACCACTCCGGTCAAGTACGCCCATATTGTGCCGTAACATGACTTAAAAATAAGAAATTATGATAGGCTTTTAATCTGTATTACCACTGCACCCCTCAAAACAAATCTAGGTTGGGTTAGAATGCTTCAAAAAAAACTTGATTAATCTCAGAACACCTAGCAAATATGTTTCAGCTGAACGAAATAAAGATTTGAAATTGAAAACTAAGTAAAAAAAAGGTGAACAGTAGAATTTCGTCTTCGTCGGAGGAACTACGTACAAGAGCATTTTTCGTCACTGCTATTGAATAGGACTTTTATTAGATCGCTTACTTTCAGTAAAAGAGACTGTAGCAGGCTTACCTCGAAAATCGGTGTTAGGACTACTTCTTTACATAATTATACATACACAAAGATATTCTTGGAAGACCATTTAGGTATGCCCAGATGACTCAACAGCGTCATAAACTGGCTCAGCACTAACCACAGTTAAATATGAGTAGAACTAAGTACATACTGGTATCATTTACTTAAAAACACAGACAAACAGAGCCTACATTTTTTATTCCGATTGTACTTAGTTTGTCTACTCTAGGCACCTACTCCTACTCATAAACTACCATTAGTTGATATCATTAAATATTATATCTAGGTGTCATCATATATAAAAACTTTAATTACCAGGCTCATGGAGACTTAGTACTCATTAAAATGAATGGCGGATCAAATCGGCCGGTAAAAGCAACTATAGAAACTTTAGTTCGATAATGTGTGTGGTACCTACTAAAATTAGAACTAGACAAGCGGCTACCAGTTTTAAAATAAAAATGCTTGACATGTCGGTGACGCATGCCAACAACTTTTATTGTAGGCCTATAAACAATTAAAAAATTCAATTTCGAATCAATATTGTCGTGTTATGAAGAATATTGTCAACTTTTTAATTCCACAAATAAGTATGCATGTCATGATGGAGTCAAAAATCCTTTTTCAAAATTTCTTTACTCCTAATTAAAGTCACTGTGGGGTTAAGACAGTTTAACTATCAATGAGTTTAGCATAATGCTATATTTGATCGTTTTGTTAGACACACCTCGTGAGTTTTGGAAAGTCGAAGTCAGTTGATATCCAGAATAGTTGCAAAAGTTAAGTTAACTAATGGACGAAGCATTGTATAAACAACAGAGTAAGCTTTTTCATTTTCTAAACTTCTCCCTTCTTCTCTGTTATTGTCATTTTATTGCCAATGAAATCCTCCGTGTGGTGACGGACATGCATCTCTGCGACCTTCGATCAAATAAGTGTAAGAAGTGTGCGGTAGCACTTTTGAACTTTACAAGTAGTTACACATTTACATATATCCAAATATGTAACATAGATATTGATGGAACCCTAATCAGGTAATTATTTGTTTATTTTATTTACTCATAACTTTATACACATTTGTACATCGGCGGACTTAATGCCTAAGGCATTCTCTCCCAGTGAACCTTTAGGTAGTGTAGATTATGTCACATTAATAAACTGGAAATTCGTTAGTCGTGTTTTTAATTTTTCTTTTTACCTTTAAACAAATAGTAGGAATTAGTTAACCAAAACACAATAACAATTTTTTCTACGTAGGAGGTGTTTTCCGATAAAAACAGGTTTGTAAACATTAGGTGTAAGTGTTAAATCAATGTGATGATAACAGCTATCGCATAATTATTATGACGATATTTTTGTTGTAATCTTTATATGAAATATATGTTAATTGTGTACAATTTATTACGTTTTGAGTATGCCATGTATCACGATTACCACCCATGGATGATATGTTTTTACTAACAATTTTCATAACATATATTCGTTGTGTATTACTTATAGTAAGATAAATAAATGTACTTTGATGTAAAACCACTACGTACGATTTCTGTAGAAACTAAGTAGAAGTTAAAAAGTAGCAGCATAATATATATCGTGTGAAAACATTTCTGAGTGTAGCTAATAAATCGTGCTTTTTCCCTTTATTTATTTTTAAAATATACCTATTATTGAGAGTACTATATCATGTTTTCTAGTGATTGAATGCTTTACAGCTAAAATTTATACTTTATTAAGCAATAGGATTGACGAGGCTTAATATTGAAAAATATTGACTCTTAATAGTTTATGTACTCAAGGCGATGTATTAAATAAATAATGCTATATGTGAACGCGATTGGGATGACGTGGAGTGACGTAACGTTGCCGTCGTGCGCGCCGGAGAACGTGTGCGGTTACTCGCGTGGCATTGTCGTTCGCCTCTGTGGCCCAATGGATAAGGCATCGGCCTCCTAAGCCGAGGATTGTGGGTTCGAGTCCCACCAGAGGTACATATCAATCTTTTTGTAAAACATCATTTGGAATTTTCTAGACAAAGAATTTACTAAGTAAATTTGTACACAGCCGTGATCCAGAACATAAGTTCATGCATTTTTTTAAGAATTGCGAGTATTGTGTAACAGACAAATTTCACTGGGTATTTTAAAAACTATTTTATCATAATTTAGTTGTATTTAAATTTTTTATTGTATAAACTTTGTGTCTCAAAAATCTAGTTACAAATTTAATTACATGTAGTGGACCGCTAAAAATAAATATTACTTCCTGTCCTCTTACTTCTAAACGAACTATACATATATATAACCTATTTTGACTTTGACAGCGAAGATTAGTTTCCATATCAAGTTAGGCTCGTCACCTGTCACCAGTATAGGATTTCGTAACGTCACTGATGACACGTTTTGGCAACACATAACATCTGACACAGATAAAATTATAACCACGGTATTTATTTAATCTATCCGTACCTACGATGGCGCTGTCGATGTGAGTTACATCGTAGATACCTACTTATTATAAAAGTCCCATATCGCGGGGGAAAGCTGTTAGATATGATAACGATATAATTTTATTGATAAGGACCGGTGAGCCATCGATCAGTCGATATGATCGGGTTCAGTCCCTCTTTAGCCCTTCGCGATTGCACCAATAATTATTTAACCAACATTTTTTTTAAATCCTGCCTATACTTTCTTCTCGAGAAAAACAAGGAAATTTTTTGTGGCGTTTATAAGTGGCCGTGTATGGATAATTACTGTGGACTGTACAGTGTATAATGAGAATGATGGGGGAAGGAGACATGGGTTACGGTGACTATTACAACTATGACAACAACTGGTCGATAATCCCACCGGATTACGGTGCTGAACTTGGTTACCAAGTGCGACAGCCGCAAATCGAAGAAGACTACAGATACAATTCTTATGCGTGAGTCAAAATTTTTACCTTTACTTGTTTTTGGGTCGTGTGTAATAAATTATTCAAAGCAGACTAAAATAGCTGTAGTAGTTGTAGACGTAAATGGTGTCGTTATTTACGTGTACATTTATGTGTCTAGGTACCAAAACGAAGTGCATTATATGACATCACGCGATCCCGACAATGTCGTTGAAAAATGACTTGCGGATTTTTCAACTAAGTGCATTGAAATTGACTATGAACTTTTTATAACAACTTTGTATTCTTTAATAAACTAGTTCTTATATTCTTTATTTTATTACGAATTTCTTAAAATGAAATATTTTTCTTATATAAAACATGTACAAATAATGTTATGTAGTGTTCTTATTAGTAAGAAAATGAATCATAAATGGTAGACTTACAATGTTTATTTTATCACCTCAGTCCTGTTGTTCCATTCCTTCAAATGGGTTAAAATAGATTAGTACTCGGTTTTGCTAGTGTTCTTGATATGTTGTACATAATATGTCTTAGTAATAACGAGTGAAGTAAATGAGGTACTGGATGATTTATAGCTATTAAGAATCCATTTGTATGTGCTAAATTGCAAGAACAGATTTTGAGAGGGTTACACAAGGTGTATACTCTTTTATACTGGGAAATAATATTTTGCAATTATTTTTATGAAAAGCATTTTGCACTGGATCACTGTAAAGTGTTGAAGTAATGAAGTAAGTGCCTACGTATTACTATCGTAGTGCCGATGAGGAGTACAATAACACAGCAAATTAATAAAACTTTCTACAATTATCTACTCGTAGCTATGTACTTAAATTAGCTTTAGATAAATTGATTTGTAAGTCACTACTCTGAAATGTCTACGAGTATATATCAGCAATTTAAAGATGGAACATAATAAAAAGTAATTATTAGTAAACCTCTGGAATAAATTAATAGGTCGAGTATTTTTACGGTATGATTGGAATCAACTCTTATGAATGGTAAAAATATTTTCGTTCCTGAATACAAAACTTGAATATAAAAGTATTGAATGTTACGGTCGAACGGTTATAGTTCGCGTGTCGTACACTTGTACTCCCGTCGGCGATGAATCGGCGCACTGAGTACCATCGAGCTCGTAATCCACCAGCTGTGAGCTCTCCCATGCCTTCGTGGAACCCTTAATTGGTTTGGAAACCCTCTTCGCGGGTTAGCGTGCTTCCACCCATTTAGGCTCAGTGCGCCTAACCAGATTGCCATAACGGAGTATTCGTGAAACTCTGTCGACCTGCTCTATTCACTCGCGAGGCGTGCAAACGTGGATAGAAGAGCTCCGTGGGCTATAAATTCTCTTTAAGTGATATAGGTGCTGACTAACGTGTTACCGACTGTCGTTTGTTTCTTTTTTCGCCAACTAATTTGGGTCACGACCGCGGTGTAGAGCTTCCAAAAGATTTATGTTTATAACTAATATGCGAACTTTTAATACCCTTGAACTCACATTTTGTTAGCCACATTTCTCAGTTCATAAAGTCAGATATTATGCAAAAGTTGTCGTGTAATTTGTCGGCAGTTCATTGTGTAATGGTAGCAGGTTAGTTTGGTCATGAGGTATTTTTTTTTCTCTGGTGTCGGCGCCGCGTGGTACGAGCGGCGCAGCTCCTCAATATTATACTTTTACACAAATTACGTTTCTATCGTGCTCACTATCAACCTCCATTATTTTATCATTAACCAATGTAAATATAGAACAATAGTCTTTCTATATTCAGTGATTAGTACCCTAGATATTATTTGCTTACTATAAGCAAATAAATAGTTTAAATGGTTTCCGTATCAAATGTACTTCTATTCATATTCTTTCAATTTGTTTTCATAAAATAGTCAATAGTTTGAAGTGAAACAATTGAAGAATTTGAAGTGAATTTATTACCCAATTGTACTCGTAGTTTCTCCTGAATTCTTATAGTTATGTTTACATCTGCAATGGAGTTGTCAATCAGTGTCAAGATTAACTATCAGAGCGTAACGTCAGTCGTGTACAGAGAAGATTGCCGATACATAAATTTAACAATTTACAGGAATAGGTAGGTAGGCACTCATCGTCAAAACGCAGACGGCTTAACTGACAATTAGTGGTGTACCTAAGTTGAGAGACCTTACGCTTACGCCTTAGAATTGATGGTAATTACTGAGAGCGATGACTGATAAACGTATCGCTGGCCTAGGTTTCTTTGAATGAAACAATATTTACCTTTGTGCTATTATTGATACTGAATTAATTTCAAATGTACAAATGAATGCTATTAAGCAATCATTAGCATTTATTAGCCATATCGCGCCATGTTGCTAGAGTAGTAATTTATGTTTATTCAATACAAGTATATGCAGTATTATTCTCAGGACTTCTTTCGTAGGTTATACCCGAATCCTTTGCAAGAGACCTTACCAGTTACAGGTGAAGGAACACCGTTTGATTTTAATCGGCCCAATTCTACGACTCCGGTTATAGTGATAACCCGTTCGGGTTTCCACTCAATAAAAAATATATGTAAAGTTTCAGTAAATCACTATGTTATTTATTGTGCTGTAAGACAAAAAACATCCACTATCAATGTTTGGAAATGTAAGTACAGGTCATCATGCAGTTTGGAATATCTATCTATAATCTTTTGAACATTTTTATATTATAATTTTAAATAGTTTTTTTTTGTTTGAACTTGCTAACCTTTAGAATTAGCAGTCTTATGACGCTCAATTATTGTAAAATATTATAGAGACAGACTCTATTACGCCTCGCCTCTTAGGAGCTTTTTCTTAACAACAAGATAAAAATACAACCTTATAAGAATGATGTAGAAAAACCCTATAACTTACTTATGCTTTATTCAGCAAGAATGGTACGTCTGATCAATTAATAAAAAGTAAGCTAATTATGCTGTGTAAGTGATGATTGAAGTTAAACAATGATTCATTTTATCCCACCCTATATGTATTTTTTAAATAGCTTTCTACACCTGGCCGATTCACTTTACAAACCCATCTGCACAATATGGTTAATTTAATGTTCAACTAGCTGGTACCCGCGACTTCGTTGGAGTGGAATTTAAAAAGCGCTGCATTAGTGGTGTAGTGCGGTAGGCGACTGCAGTTCATGAGGCCTCGGGTTCGATTCCCGTACCGAGCAAAATTTTATAGCGTTTTTCTAACAGGAAAAAAAGCCTAAGTTACTCCTAATGTAGATGGCTACCTGTTAGTAAAATATTATCAAAATCGGGTCAGTCGTTTTGAAGATTACTCGGAATAAATATTTATATAGGTACCTACATATTTACTAATGTGATATTTATTTTCATACGATATTACTACTATGTAAGATATTTTGTTTAAAGCGTATCAGCTTTAGCGGTTTATCTTAAAAACAGTCTGTAAAGCATTTTATAGTTGGGAAATAGAATGCTAAATCAGGTTTCATACTTTTGTGAATTTTTTGAATCTCAAGTTCGAGAATTCTTTTAAATCAACTGTTATGAATTGATCATAGTACTATTGACGTAAGACATGTCAAAAGTAGTTGAACTAAAAAACAACTTAGTGCATATAGAACTTTTCTTTGAAACTGGAATTTGTTAATATGTGTAATATATTTCGCTAGTGAGTGTTTAACAACTTTAATTAGTTATAATTTATTGTAACCTTTAAAACATTTATTGGGTGGGTGGGAGATCGCAATGTGGAGTAAAGCTCGTGGCTAGTGACCCGTGTAACTGAGGGCGAATGCACCTGCCTCCCGCCCTTCACAAATCTGTGCCTCGCAGCTTACCTCTGTCATAGTATATGTAAAATCTAGACAACAAACATAACAATTTTGACTTCAGGTCTAAACTAGAGGTTTAACTAACTAAATTTTAGTTTTCCAATTTTTTTTTAATTAGTAATATAACAAACTTCGAGGCTGTAGGTTTCAAACTCAAACTCAGTACCTACCCACGACTTTGGTTTTTGTACTAAGTAGAAACCTAAAATTTGGTAGTTTTGCTGTCTACAAACATGACTAAATTCTACGATTTGCAATACTTCAAATTATATACTTTTTAAACGAAATTTTCAGGCAAGTCTCTTAAGTAATGTAGTTAATTTTACTAAAAAAACATTAAAGGCACTTTATTGCGAATGTAGATAATAAGTTCTCGCATAACCGCTGCATTTGACAATGCATTGTTAGATAGTGTAAAAATCGCCTCACCGTGTCAACGGCTATCAAGATAAAACCGCGTCTAAGTAAAATAATGTACGCGGATAATCGACCTTCTTTCTTGTGTATCTAGTAGTGCAGTTGCACTAGATAGTGTTGAATTTTAATCCACACATGGGTCAGTTATTTAGTTAGGTTTAATAGTATTTCACAGATATCTGAGGTACTGCAGTTACTTTTACAGTTCATATTTAGTTCATCAATAAAACTACTTAATAGTAGACATTAACCTACAAATAGAAGCAACTTCCGATTATAAACTTAACATATAAAAAAAGACAAATCTCGCAACACTTGTGAGGTGTAACTGTTCTTTCATTGGTTAACTAACCGTGACCATGCTAATATTAGACATTTTTTAATGTAATAAATTTAATGACTAACCTCATTGTATATTTTGTATGCGGTTATTGACTTGAAGGAAGGATTTTAGCCAGTATTTTCTAGGAACATCAGTGTTTCTGATATTTTTCCATATACTTATGAAAGCCTAGTGCCTCCCTTCACAATACTAGCGATGCGCGGAGCGATGGCAGCATTAGATTCAAAAACTCATTCTCAATAAGTCAATTAAACATTTGGTGAGCTGCACGCCACTTAGGGTTCCCTCCAATATAAATAATTGCCCTTTGTTATTGCTGCTCTTTAATGGGGAAAAATGATGCGAACACGCCAGGTTATTGTGTTATGCTGTAGAAAGGAAGACACTTTGTGTGCCTTTTAATAAATACTGTTTAAGTTAATCAGATCTACATTTTAAAATAAAAGTAGATATGACGGTTACTTGGCTACTAGTCAAACAATCGACGACACAGAACAATAGAACCCAAATGCTCGAGAACCTACAGCTCATGCTAATTAATTTTCTCTTTTCAATTATTAAGTGAAAGATTTGTAGAGCATATATAAAAAAAAAAGATTAAATGTGATCTTCTGGAAAGCAAAATAAGAAGTATCAATAACGCGATAACTAAAAAATACACGCGAGAAAGTAACGTAAGAACCGCTTAATTTGCGGTTGCTCTAATTTGTGCTTTTTAGTGGACCAAAACACAGAATGCGCATTCACAATTAAAACAGGTATGAGGAATACCGACGTAGTGTTCACGTGAGAATGATTTTGTTGAAATTTAGCACATTAGATACATTATGTTTGTAGTTCTAATGATGTGTGATTGGGCTGACGAAGTCAGTTGAGGGAACTCCGCAAAGCTTAATTGGATTAAACTTTTAAAAGCGATTGCCATTTAAATATATACACGGTGATTTTGAAAGCGTTTTGGAAACGAAACATTTTAATTTGGAATCATCTATAGTACCAATAAAAATGATTAAATCAATTGTAATGTTGTCTAAAAAAAAATTTCAGTTTTAATATTAATTTTTACTCGATCGACTTGGAAAGTAGTAGTGGACTGATCATTCATTCATTATCCTATATGAATGAAACACGTCCGTGCGTTTCGGCGGCCGCTGCGCACCGCTGACGCTAACAGCAGCTGATAAAAGTATACCTATAGGCGCGAGCTAGCGAGTACTTACGTAGATAGACTCCAATTTGTCCTTCATACTTTACACGGGCTTAGGATCGTCGGAAATACCTATTTTATTTAAACTTCTTTTCGATTATTAACAAATCAATTTATCAACGGACTGTAGGTATAAATATTTCAAGCGTATTTAAAAAATCGGAGCTTTCTACAGAATAATTAACTTACATACCTATTTACACTATTTACACTTCTCTGTATCGAAGCAACTGCTGGCCCTCCTCGACCTATCCACCGATCACTTAACTCATTGTCCAGGTATGCACGCACTACACTCCGGCGAATAATAATTTAAACGTCCTTGACCTTGCGCGTGAGCGCGCGACCTTTATGTGACTCGATATTAAAACGCATAGTATTTCTATTCGTAGTATTTACCTACTTGCGATTGAAAAGCCCTACTACTGGTTTCTTCTTTTCTCTGTAATCGATATGAATATCGACTTTGATGATAAAAAATATATATATTTTATTAAATTAACGTTATATATAGCTTCTGTTACTGATAAATAACTCAAAATTTTCTTTTCCAAAACGCTTTCAAAATCACCGTGTATATATATATATCAGATACCAGTGCATACCTACTTAAAGTAGCTGATTATTATATTTAATAAGGGAGCTTTACTTTTAACATTTCATTCCTACTTTTGTCGGGCGTATAAATACGGCTATATGTAAAAAACACGGCTTTTTTCAATGTCGATTGAAGTCAGGCACTGCGGCACCGGCGGTCAAAAACATTTCAGCAATAAGGATATGGCCAGGATTTAGTCCCGTTTTTTTATGGATAATCTTAGTTATCTTTTCTTTTTTCTCTCTTTCTTTCCATTTAATATGTTTGTCAGTATGAAATAGTAAAACAATTTATCGTTGTATGGATCGAAATGTTTTTTTTTTTGTACGCAATAACTCACCTTTATTCTGCTCAGTTGTGTGTAATCCGTGATCTTATCCGTGTGGTGATGGAATGAGAATACGGAGTGTCACCACCCCTATTCATCTCGTAGGTGTCGTTGGAGCCGACTAAGCAAGCAAATTACGCTAATACTACGACTAATAGTTCTAAATTTAAGCGCGTAAAGGTACCCAAAAAACAAACTTAAAAATACATTTTTTTTGAGACACCTCACACTCGGCTGTCTGATCCCAAACTAGGCAGAGTCTGAACTTTAGTGGTTAAGCAAGTACAATGTATTAGGTACACGAGAAGAAACGGAAGACACAAGACAAGTAGATGTAACTAACCCAAAAATTCACGAATACCACAAATGAGCCTGATGAAAGTTCGTGCCTTTTTTGTTGTATTAAGTACGTATGCGATATTTTATTTCATTGTTTAAAAAAAAAAGTCCTTGAAATTTGAAAATGGGACATCTGTTTGCAACCTATCAACTTTCAATAGCAGTCAATAATATAGTTTTATTTTATAAAGAATGAAGGAAACCAATGGAGGACAAAAGGCTCCGTTAGCGCACACGTGCAAGTCATAAAACTGATAATTGTTGAAGTTCTCTACCTGTTCGTAGAAGACAGCATTGTTTTCCCAATTTGAATACGCTAAGTACTGCAACATGTGCAAAAGATTAACTCACGGTTCTGGGACTAGACAATAGAACAGTTTGAGGAGGAGATTTTGCTATGTAGGTACTTGTATTCGTCAAATTGATATTAGTTACGTTTGCACGCTTTGCTAAAGTCTTCTTAAGCTACATTCTTTAGTATTAATATTTAATTCGGTTTTAGAGTTATTGCCTGAAGATATTTAAAAGTTAATTCTAAACAACCTCCTTTCTTCTAACATTTATTAAGAAGTAAACTAAGTATTACTTCGTTTTTAATTTCTTAGTACTGTATAGTTTATATAAAAATGACTGAATAACGAAACCTATTTTGAGAAATATATAGAAAACCCGTTTCCTAAAAGAAAATACAGTAGTAGATACAAAAAATATATTGAAAACGTATGTTCATTAAGTCTCTTTGTATTGATAGAATGAGGCACAACAAATATTTTACTAACATAAGCTTACACGGGCTTATTAAAACACTTTAAAAGAAAATCGTTATCCGGGTATTTGGAGCGGCGTCCATAACGAACCCGGCCTTAACAATGGGCTTAATGCTCGCACTCATTATAAAAAGCGACAGAACATAACGCGCTACGTCGAAAGCTCCTCTATTCAAAGTGTATACTCCAATTTTTTTTGTTGGGAAGGCTTCGGCTGGTGTGCGATTGGTTGCCGCGAGTCCCGCCCCGTCGCCGGCGCGCTGCTATTGGCCGAAGTCAATGGAGCACCCTCGAGGCTAGTCCGGAGCTGAGTAGGCTGTCGAGGTAGAGGGCGGCGCGGGGTGTTCTTCACCCCGAGGACCACTCGAGGGTTGTTTAGTGTAGACGCGGCGTCGCAAGGCGCAGCACGTGTTCTCGCGAGTGTACCTACAGCTATCAAAATTATCCCGAAAACGAGTTCTCCCGGCCGGGAGATGAAGTGCGAGGAGGGTGAGAGCGCGCGCTCTCCGCCACCGCCACTGCTGCCGCCGGCTTCACTGCTGGCCTGGAGCCCTATTTTACTGCCGCCGTGGGGCCCGGCTTTCCTGCCGGCCCTCTACCCGGCGGCTTTTCGGTCCGCATTCCCTGGGTGAGATACGGAAGAAGTGCTATTTTAGTGAATCTAAGGTGTTATACTGAACTGCGTATTTTTGAAGAGCTTAATAAATTAAGTAAGGCAAAGATTTTGACATCTATACGATCACGGTCCCAGTTTCAAGTCCGATTGACAAAATATTACCCATTTTATAGATGAAAATGTTGAACCATAAAGAAAGAAGAAGCCAGTAGGTTTTGAAATTTGTGTATTTAATTTTTTTTAAATTGATTGGATAGATTAAGAGACTGAAACAGTTGACTGAGAAATTGATTTAATGAATGAATATACAATATTCACCCAAAAAATTAAATAATACACGTTAATTTAAAATTTTAGAACAACGTTTATGTCGATCAATAATCTTGTAAAAAACTTATCTGTTCATTGTGATCCTGACATTCCTTGTGACAGTTTTTGCACCTCTTAGTGAGAGGTCGTTAATAGTTGTGTTTACAACCTGCCGCTCTTGTGAAGCCGCTCTTTCATCACGTCACGTACGGGAAGGCTCGACGGCTTGACTTCACGGGCACATGTAATAACGTAAAGATTGACACAACCCATGTTCTCTCATGTACCGTGTTTAGAAATATTCTATTATTAAGGTCACGTATTCTTGAGAGGTGCTCTCTAACAATAATGGATGAATTGGTAGAATTTGGAATGTTTTCTTTCAATTATATACAATCAAGACGTGCTTGTCGTCTCTTAGAAGATTTGAAGTTTGTTTGAGCAGGATACGTGGGTGCTCGGACCATGTTTAGAGAACTCTTGACTACTCAATTTATTTAACCATTTCCTTTTGTTATTGTGTGGGCGTGAAACTGACATTTTAAGTTATTTTTGCGTTTTATTTGCTAATTACTAGGTACTAAAATAGATACATTCTTGTCATGTCAACTGACTTTGGTCGAGTCTGTTTTAATCTTCTTTGATGTTCTTCATCTGTTCTGTCATCAGTTCCTAGAGTTCATAAAACCTAGGTAAATAGTGGGAGAAATGGAAATTAGATAATGACCGAATTTCTTGCAAATCTGTATTCGTATTAATCTGCAATTTATACATTTCTTTGCCTTTCAGATTTTTAAAGAGTAAAGAGTATAGATTAATGATTTTTTAAATTAAATAAAAGCTTTAGTTGAAAATTAGCTACCGGTATTCCTTTAATTGCACTAAGCTGAGCACTTTACTTAACATTTATTGTACTTAAAAAATATATTGCTTAAAATATATAGGTATAAGAAGTGTATTTGTATAATAGGTGGCCTTATCGCTGAGAGCGATCTTTTACACGCTACATTTGGATGAACAAAATCGACGATAGATAACCTTATATATATATCTCTATTACTCTTGTATATATTTTGTATACGTACATCAATTTTTTTAAAACCATTTTAAAAGTAGCAATTTGTCCCACTAAGTATGCCTAACAATGTTTTATGTTCTTTAACCAAATTTATTATCTGTTGTTCAGGCTCTTAGACAGCATGAAGATGCCCGGTCAGCGGCCAGGGTTCCAGATATCTGATATCTTGGGGTTAAATGAGGGCAAAGGATTGGAATCAACGCCCGCACAGGGTGCGATCGGCGGATGTTCGTTAGAATTGCCTCCATACGCGCCGCCTCATCATGCTTTCTCTCACGAGCTGCTAAGACATCATCAGCCTTGGTTGTCACTGGACCATCACGAGGCACATAATAATTGTGAGTACTTATTTTATTATTATTTAAACAAAAGGAACCGATAACGCGGAATAGTTATCCGGTATTGATATGCAATCTAAAATATAATTCTGCCTTAATTTAACATTAATGCGTAGTTGTAAAAGCCTTTTAAAGCCCACTGCTGGATGTAGGCTTATCCTTAGAAAGGAGGTTTTGGCCTACAATATCATGCTGGCCAGACGGGTTGGTTATGTATATGGTTTGTTTTAAGTTTTTCTTCTCTTTACAGTGCTGTTGTCCTGCGTAGTTTGCTCTCTTAGTCGGCTCTTATGACACCCACGGGAGGAATAGGGGTGGTGGCAATCCATATTCTTAATCCGTCGCCACACGGACAGAGATAATTAACACCAAAAAGAGATAATTAAGTAATATCAGGCTGCTTTATTTGAACTGCGATGGCCCCGCCACTTGAGTTCCAGTAGACCCGTCGCACTTCGGTCCTATTATACCTTTATATTTTACAAATAGTTATCCAGGGATAACTTTAAACCATAAATAGGTACATATAAGCGTAGCTGAGGGAGTTAAACAAATGTTTATTGGTAATTTATTGAATAAAACTGAAAACTGATATTTGAATTTGAGTGCTCTTAAAAGCGAAGGTCTTTTCAAAAAGAATGTCCACAGTTGTTAAAAAAAAATTTGCGCAATCGACGAATATTGAAGGCTTTATGTATCATATTAGTAGTATGATTACCATTACGTAGTTGACTACCTGTTAAAAATCTTGTTAGCCGATAGAGTATCAATTGATTCATTCTATATTGAATCAACTTTCATAAGTGAGAATAATTCATGAAGGATGCTCCAATGGAGTTATTAGCTTTTCAGCCAATGGGTAGCAGTAAGTACGTCCATAAATATTGATCCCTTTAGCAAAATGGCGCTTTTGACTATTCAAACATTACTTCTTGGTGTAAATTAGTCATTGAACTTAATGTCCATTAAAAAGTTTCCCAAGTCTATGTGTAAGATTTATATAATTTACCAGCTAATATTCGGTTACTACTCGTATTAATTATTTGTTTGAGGTTACCCACCGTCAAAGGCCTCCTATTTACACAATAATTTAGTGATCTAGCCTTTAACGATAACACCGGCCACTAGGTCTATTATCAACTTAAATTCATAGCAAATAATTTGTATCGGCCTATGAATAAATATTATTGTGTTTATAAATAGTAGCATTGTTTGGGAAATATTTTCGGTCTGAATCTTTTAAAACTGTACCATATTTATATTGCTACTGAACTATAGCACATATTCAAGGCTGTACGAAGTTTCTATATGGGCAAATCAAGGATTGAGATTAAGACTCTCTATATACGAGTACGTACTGCCAATATTGAAAATGAGTACATGTTTCTTTCTATCTTGTTATGCATTATGATTATATAACCACATGGGACCTAAATCAATATTTACCTTCGTACAAATTGTATTATCTCGTGGATATTGTCATCTCACCAAAACAAAGATCACGCTTTAGACATTTTATAAAATCGTCAATTCTAGATACTTTTATCCGTTGATACGCGATAAAGAATGACAAGAATCTTTGAAAAAACATAGCGCTATGAGTTTGATAATCCAAAACTTTTATTAGCGTCAATAAATGTATTAAACAAATAAATCGTCTTTAACAGTCAATCAATCATCACATATGATACACAACATCGGTTAGCATTTACTAAAATAGTAGAATATACTTAGTTCAGTCATAGGTACTCGTAGTATAACTTAGTCCCTATATAAGGAGTAGAATGGTAATAGTAAATTATATATTCCAAGTTTAGTCTCTTATCTTTAGACGAATTACAAAAACATCAAATCACATTTGAATACTTTCTTTGTCGTATCCTAATTCTAGGAAATAAAGATCCAAACCTAAGGACAAGACCTTCCCGATGCTGAACTACTTCCATTCTCCAAGAGCGTAGATCTTCAGCCGACGGGTAGTCTTACCGAAACAAGGCCCGAACCGGTGGCTAAGTTGGCAGAAATTAAACTCATATTTTATAAAAATCACTGACAGTGTTTATCTTTCCAAATTGTCATCTCGTGAATTATCGTACTCAAATAAGTTGACCCACTCGAAAGTAATGTGTATTCGGTAGCGGTTGGAGAGGTAGAGATTATTTTTTGAAATGCTCCTTCATTCGAGTGCCTTCACCCGCTAATCTAGTGTTGTCATTAATTATTTTTATCGCTTATCTAACACTTTCGGCACACTACATACACTCGTACATTGGATTGCTTGTAAAACAACGATTCTACATATCTGGCGTTGATTGATTGGTATTTTAAGAGTTTTATAGGTTCACTAACATACATCATATAGAAGTAAAATAAAAGTACAAATAAATATAAATGACGATAGTTTACTCTTTCACAAGTATATGTAGATTATTTTCCACTCTATTATATGTGTGTACAAATATACCTAATCTATATCAGCAGCATTTAATACATTTTATTAAACAATAAATTTGTATAAAAAAAATGTTGAGAAAAAAATTTGGAAAACTCCGTTGCCGTCATATTGGTAATCGACATCGACAGCCTTTAATAGTCCACTACTGGACATAGACCTCTCCTTAGAAAGGAGGTTTTGGCCTACTATACCATGCTGGCCAGACGGATTGGTATAGGCTATCCGTGTGGTGACGGATTAAGAATACAGAGTGTCACCACCCCTATTCATCCCGTGGGTGTCGTAACAACACTGAAGAGAGAAGGAAAGCTTGACTCATATTGGTAAATTTAACATTAATATTACATAACTAACAAGAAAGCTAAAAAATCGTTCAATAGTCAACAAGGGAGAAAATGATCTCTCTCTGTGTTTAGTTTACACTATCTAGTATATATACATATTAATTACCTAGAAAAGTCTTCATGTAGTTTTTGCTTATTCATAGTGTGCATTTTGATTTTTGGTTGCAAGTAGTGCGACCTTGAATTTAATATACTTAAAATACTAAAATAAACGTTGCCGGATTTGTCAGCTAGATGCAAAATGAATAAAATCTCATGAGAATTAAATAGGGTTGGTACAGTTCACGCCCTAGAGGGTAATTTGGGGTGCTACCAAACACCTCGATTGTTTAATGTGAGGGGTGAGACGTGAAACGAATTTGTCACCAATAGATACTGCTCTTGCTCGTGAACACTATGGAGGCAGCTGTTGGCTATCAATTACACGTTGTTTGCGGTTGTTAGGGATGCAATTTGAACATTATTCGATGACAGTTATAGATTTTATTGTTCTGCCTTCATGTAAAATGGCAAATTAGTTACGCTATAACTATATAATATAACTAATTCTTTTTTCTGAATTACGCCTAGATATGACAATTAGCAGAGAACGAAATCGTGATTTTAGTAACTTGCTGTTTTTAAAATCAACAAATAACTTTAACTGAAAGAATTCGCAGATTAAAGTCGTGCTCTGATTTTTGACTGTCATCAAAGATTCAAAATATACAAGACAGTATATATTCTAAATAAGTGAAATGTTGCTTTAAATACTGCAGCTGAATGTTTGTGGAGTTTCAGAGTGCAACCCGGTAGAGAAACACTGTGCACTTGTACACATTATGCCAGTAGTTACTTGTAAAGTACTAGTAACCATTAGCATATTGCTTAAGACGCAACGGAGACATAGATAGATAAAACTTTATTTGTACACCACACTTTTGCAGATATTATAAAGTTACTCCTTTCAGTTAAACCGTTCAGTTAAACCTCCTTTCAGAGGAGAGGCCTATGTCCAGCAGTGGACTATTAAAGGCTGTTGATGATGATGATGATTTTTTCAGTTAAATAAAAAATAAACTAACCAGTTGTTTGTGGGGATAGGGTCTATGACTGAAAGAGGAATGGAGCGCTGTGGCCTATAAATATAACAAAACACTAACCTTTTAACTGAAATATTTACAATAAAAAAAAAAACCTGGGGATGGTCACTCTTACTACCTAGGGGTATAAAAAAGAGCTTACGAACTATTCTCAGACCTCCCAAATATACACAAAAAATCATTAAAACCGGTAAAGCCGTTTCGGAGGAGTTCGAAAAAAAAACTGTGTCACCAGATTTTAATATACATATTAGATCATCATCATCAACAGCCTTTAATAGTCCACTGCTGGACATAAGCCTCTCCTTAGAAAGGAGGTAAAAAACATATTAGATAAAACGTACAAAAAAAATAATGTACGAAGGGCGGCCTTATCGCTAAGAGCAATTTCTTCCAGGCAACTTGAATTCATTTATATTATATTATAGGTATCTATCACCAGTTCAAAAAGTGCCTTTATTATTTAACCTATGAAATATTTATGTAAAATGTTTTCAAATTTATGGCCAGAGGCCTATGTCCAGCAGAGGACTACTATAGGCTGTTGATGTGATGATGACACATAAATTTTACTAATCCATATTTACATTTAAAATATTTATAATTATTAGTTATGCGGGACATGTGCTTGTTTGCAAACTTCGCTAGCTCAGTAAGTTCGCAAATTAGTATTAATTATTATTTTAATCAACGTTACTTAACTTACACCTGGCCTTCAATTCTCTCTTTTTCACTAATGTTATGCAATTCACGTATATTCCTAAAATAACTAGACACAAAACAGTCTCGGTAAACCTGGTGTCAAAATACAATTTGAATAAAAGTATCATCCCTAAAGATGGTCTGATAAGAAACACGACAATAAGGAGGTACTAATCTTGTAGATAAAGACAATCCGTGACTCAATACTTTATTAAATTTCCTGGATGCGCTTACGAAGGTAAGCAAGGCGATCGTTGAACAAAGGTTACCAGCTGTCAGGGGTTGGGTGTGGCTCTCCCTGCCGCCTCTCCTCTGTACACCTACCCCCGATGTCCACCACGCCCAGTCGCACTCCCGCCCGCCCGTATTATCGTATCCGTGTGAAACAACTAAGGTTTGAGGGGTGAATAACGAAATAACGAACACTGTTACGTTTGTCGAGATTTTTTTCCTTTCTATTATTCATTCGAACATCACATCTAGTCACAGTTAAATAGAGCGTAACCCTCATAAAGATTAACTGAGGATTTGTATGTGAGTGTTTGTAACAGTTTTGTTTAGTGGTTTTATTGATATTACTTGTGAAGTTACAAATAAATTGAGCTGTTTAAAGAAATCTTCTCGCATGTTTATTCCGCATATACTTAGGAATGTAAAGAGCATGATCTATAATGAATGTCGCTGACTATATTAGTATTATAATTAAAGGATATCGATCTGCCATAAATTTATCGAAAAAAATTTTTTGGAGCATTTCTCTTTATGTAGGTCACCATATTTTTTGATACGAGTATATACATCAAAAATATTACATCGATTATAACCTAAATTGATAAAAAATCTATGATATGCTTAATTTTTATTTTTGTGTAAAAATCAGATGATGATTATTATTAACGAAATGCTTATTTTGTCCTAGGTGTCATCGGTCAGCAGGCGAGTCCTGATAGTACTTCTCGTGCTTCAGAGCTTTCTTACGTAGGCCCATCGGCTGCTTCGCCACCAGTTAACGACCCGCGCAACGAACATGACCACGACCATGAACCAGACGATAATGATATTGATCACGACGATGAACATGACCATGAACCGAGTGCAAACGCCAGCTCTGACCCTAATCTAGCCCACAAGAAACGTAAACGTCGAGTTCTCTTCTCAAAAGCTCAAACCTACGAGTTGGAAAGACGATTCCGCCAACAACGATACTTATCAGCACCGGAAAGGGAGCACCTGGCTAGTTTAATAAGACTGACACCGACACAGGTTAAAATTTGGTTCCAAAACCACAGATATAAGACTAAACGGGCTGTACAAGAGAAAGGAGCTCATGACTTGAATGTTGGTGGATTAAATTCCCCGAGACGTGTAGCTGTACCAGTCTTGGTGAAAGATGGGCGGCCTTGCGTTGGAAAGCCTGATGGGTTGCCGCCATTGGGAATGTCCCTCCCTCCGTACCATCAATCTATGCATCATCAGCCCTCTGTAGCAGGCCACGGACCACAGTCTGGAGGTTGCTGGTGGTGAAGAGCGCTTTATGCGTCACTGTTTTATGTGATTTACTAGTCCGTTGTCGTAAATTGTTGCAAAGTTTGTTGCTCGCCAGTGATGGAACGTAATAATAATATCCTTATTCTCTACTGACCACGATAACAAGGATGTATTTTATGCTCTCTTTCGTATGGCTCCTATTCGAATATTGACATTTTAAAATTTAAATCAGTTGAGATTTCGACATTAAAAAGCAAAATTATTATTGTTAAATCTTAAATTTATCTAGATATCAGATAATTCAATGAGATCGTATCGTATCGAATATATTTTGGTTTCTGTATCTCTTAAAATAATAAATAAATATCGAATTTTGCAGAAGTTGCGACCTTTATATTTAGAAAGAGCAAAATTTTAGTTCGTTATGGAATTGTTAAAATTATTGTTCAAACGTAAGCAACTCGAATACTAATAATGAGTACTCGTTAAAGTACTTTATTTGGAAATTTGAAGGTATCTGGAGTTCCTACTTATATGTAATATAGTTATTTTTTAACACTTGTGAGTGAAATCTTCTTATGATAGATATGTACGTCTGTAGCGACGTTCATGAAACTAGTGATCAGATACATTCCACTTCGTTTGGAGTTTGTATATTTGTGTAAAAACCTGCGTCACTTTTAGATAAGTAATATTATGAGAAATGACCAGATTTTATCAAAATGCAATATATAGTTGTAAGTTTCAGTATTATCATAGTCGAATATATTTAGTTCATAGTTATTTATGTATATTTCAAATAAAGTTTTATATTAAATACGTACTAGTAACTTTAGATACAAATGTATATTATGTACATATTTGTGTGATTAGTTACCGACGCAGAAACTGTTTTATCTAGTTTACATTCCCTTAACTGTAATAGATATGATGTTATAGGAAGTAATATTAATAATATCAACCTTTGTACCTACTGTTCGATTTACCAATAATCACACACTTTATGTCCTTACCAATAGTTAAAGAATTTAAGTTAGATTATAAAAATGTGTTAAATATAAATTATTATCACACTATTAAAAGGATGACAACTATTTTATGTACTTTTATTTCTCTGAAAAAGTTTATTTTAAAGAAGCGTCATCTGTCAAGATTTATTATCAGATTTTATGTAGAAAATATACAGAAAATTCGATACTCTCGCGACAGCAGATGTATATAATAATAATATACCTACTGATACGGTTTATATTACCAATTACACATGTTGTAGTTAAAGATTATTAACCTATCGAATCATAGTTAAAGTTTTAATTCTACGAAGTCATTGAATGGATAGGGAAACATAAAAGAAAAAGGGGCAAAAGCGATATAAAAACATACACATGTTTGCTGCAAAATTCCATCTCTAAGTATAGATGGAAATTACATATAGAAGGAAATTATATATAGAAGGAATTTTCTGGAAAATAGTAAGACACATCTATACTCTACACAAATAAATAAAATTGAAGTGTCTGTTTGTAATCTCAAAATTATAGGTTTTTTTAATGCTTATACGGTTATTTGTACGATACCTATGCCTAAAAACCAATTTAAATATTTTTGTCTGTCTGTGTGTTTCTGATGGATTATCTTCAAAACGGCTGGTCCGATCATGATAATATTTTGCTAGTAATATAATATTTATGTAAACATTAAACCCTCCTTTTTCCCACAAGTCCTCGTAGCTATTTAATATCCTCAATATATGATCAGATTCTTATCTATGGTGGTCAGCTTAAGCTAGCATCTGCCTGTTGATGAAAATCGACCTTAGCGTAAGACAGGTAGCATCTATTTATACAATAAATTCAAGACTAACGTGATTTTTACGGAGCATGGATGGGGTCGATACGGGTATTATGTATCTGTCTTCGGTACTGGTAAATATATTGGTTATATTTGCTTGTGTGAGAAAGTATGGTATGTAATAATTAATGTGCAATGGATCGATTAGTTACGATACCTATGTGGCAATAGCGACTAACTATGTATTGATAGCCAGTAGTAGGTATTTTAGTATGGTAGGTTTTAGTATAGAGGAGCTAATCGAATGAATTTCAACACTACTTAATGACTGTTCTGAATAATTGATTACTTTCCACACATCGAAATCCAGCACAACATCGTTATAAAAAATAAATAAATTCACAACTTTTAAGAAAATTGTCTCAATTTTTTCGATTTGTTTTGTTTGTTCAGTGCCAAAGGAATGATAATTTATTTCAGTTATGAACATCAAAAAATTGAAGAAAAAAAAATCACTGAAGATTAGTTGAGATGATAAACAAGCATAATTAGCCTTAATATAGCCATAACAGTTTTACACCATGGCACACTTGTCTTATGTCCAGCAGTGGAATATTAAAGGCTGTTGATGATACTTGTAAGAAATTAATTAAGCAAACAGGATAGTAATATCTGCTGGTCATAGCGGCTTCTCCTTATAAAGGAGGTTTTAGCCTACCATACCACACTGGCCAGACGGGTTGGTTTAGGGTTTGTGTCAAGTTTTCCTTCTTTTTGCAGTGCTGTTGTCCTGCGTTAGTCGGCTCTTACGACACCCACGGTATGAATAGGTGTAGTGACATTCCATTTTCCTAATCCGTCACACGGATTATTATTTTACTTTTTACAATACCTTTTTACTTAGAGTACCTACAGTGTGATTTATCCTAGACAAATCAGTATTTCAAATACTCCATCATCTAACCATATCAACTTACAATTTGATTATTGTTTTACTTTTAAATTTAAGCTTTTGCATACGTTTACTGCTTTTATATTAGCTTATTTTATTATTATAGTATCTTTAAAATAAAGATGCGAAAATATTCCATGTTTATGATATTGAAGTACATCGACAGGTCGATGTGTGACGGATCATTGTTGTCTGTTTCAATATTTACCAGTCCCGGGCGTTTATCTAATCGCGGGCTGCCAACCGCGATAGCTTGCGACCCGATTACTGAAATACCCGTAGCCTTAGCGTTTTCTATTCACCTGTTCTATTTACTGCTACTTTCATACTTTTAACTAAACTATTGAATGAGCAAAATATACTATTTAATGGTCAAGAAACATTTGGAGTGGAACCTATACATTGCGTTAATCTTGGTTTAATAGGACTGAACGCGGTCATGTTGGCATTTTAATAGTAAGTATACTAGCTTATGCCCGCGGCTCCACGCGCGTGTATGTCGATTATATCGTTAAAAAGTAGCCCATATTACTCGCTGATAATGTAGCTTTGCATTGGTGAAATAATTTTTAAAATCTTTTTAGTGGTTTAGGTGTGAAAGCGTAAAAAACAAACAAAAAAACAAACGAGATCACTTTCACTAGTAAATAGTAGGATGGAGATGAGGGCTATCATTTAAAATCCAAAAAATACAAAATTAATTTATCCGCTACCTTTACCTTAAACAATATTGGGTATAGGTACCTATTCTACTCACTAATGTATCCAATCCTCTTTGTGCTAGGAATGGTTGGATACTACAAGCTTGAAGTGAGGTCCAATATAAGCTTAGCTAAGTGTGTTTTTTAATTTTCCGTGGTAAATAGAAAAATCCTAAGGTATTGGAATCGTTGAGATTACTTGTAATAAAGCTTCAATAGATTGCCCCTCTTGTAAGAGCGCTTAATATTTTAAATATAAACAAGGTCTCAAAACAGATAGATATTTTTATATGTTACATTGGCGGAATTCCAAAGGATGACATTATTGTGTTTGTCTTGAATGGAGCAATTTTTTTTTGTTTCAATATTATTCACTACATTATTATATTGGAGTAAATCGGTTCGGTCATTTGGTGAAAAGCTACGGAAAATTACTTAACACTAGTTTTTCTGAGAGGCCGTTATACCACTCCGGTCGAGCCGGCCTGTGGGTGCAGGACAGAAGCATGGCTCTCCCACGGTTAATATGTGATGGATATGTTTATGCATTTTATTATTTTATATTAAACTTACTTAGGACTCATTTATTGATTCCCGGGTAAACCAATTGTTTATATGATTCACAAATATTTGTCTCGGTGTTTGGGTGTTTTCTATGTATAATATGTATGTATTTACAAAAAGCAGTATATGAATATTCTATCAGTAAATCTAGCTTTCATTGTACAAGCTCTGCTTAGTTTCAAATTAGATGGCGTTGTGTATCAGATGTCCGAAAATATTATTATTATAGTAGTGAGAAAATTATTTGAAATCGACTCTTGTTTAGACTCTAAAGTTATAGATCAACACACACAATAGCAAAAATCTCTGTTTTGTCAAATATTTATCAAACAAAATTTATACCTGTCTGTAATTTATGCCTGTGCCGATCTACAACCGCCCATTTCCAAGGGGGTTGAGGCGCATGAGAAGAAAGGGCAAAAAAATTGGGGCCACTATTTTTTAATTAACAAAAACATACAATGACATCATTGAACATTGTTTGATGAGTGCCAGTATTAAAGTTATAAGGACTATAAGGTAAAAAGGCAATGAAGAGAAAACAAGATATAGAAAAAAATAAAAAATAAAATGAAAAATTAAATAAAGGACACACTAGCCCACCTCACATTTCCACTATGAAATAGCCTGTGCTAAATTAATCCCAAGCATTCTTGTCTTCTTTGTAATCCACAATTGTGTAATAGGCTTTCTGACATAGTTTACGTTTCATTGTGGATTTTAATTTGTTTATACTAAAATCTTGTATACCATTTAGGATATTATTAAAGAATCGGACACATTGACCTCTAAATTACTTGATTATCTTTTGGAGCCTAGAGGCAGGTACAACAGGTTTATTTCTATTTCTGGTATTTAAAGCATATACATCACTTCTTTTCAAGAAGCTATCTTTGTTTTTATGAACATATATTACATTATCATATATATATTGACGAATATATGTATGTATGTAGTATGTAGTACCATATTCTACTGTGGGAGATTGCTGCCGACATTCTAACGAATTTTGTGCTGCTAAACTAAAC